TTTTTTTTATTTAACCAAATGTTACTCTATTTTATTAATTGCAACTTAGATGTTCTTTATTATCCTTTTAAGCAATAAGGTCGTTGCCTAAATTAGAGTGAGTATCTATACATACATACGTAATAAAATTCTGAGTCGAATCTCTACCTACATTAAATATTTTCTGGAAAATCTTATTGAAATAGTCATTTTTATCGATGCAGATGTTGAATCTATAGTTTTTAGAATTTTTGTCTGTCTGTCTGTCTGTTACCGCATCACAGAAAAACCACTGGAGAGATTTTGATTAAATTTAGTATGGTGAAAAAAATTCACAATCAAATCAAGGTCAAAATTTTTTTTTTGATTCAGTATTAAAAAATACATACACACCTGAATTTTCTTATATATATTTCTTTGCACTTTCTCTTACTGTCCCGCTACTTAACACTATTTCCCACATGCATGTGTTGACTGGAAGAGATCTCTTATACAGATAAGTCCGTTTTTGTCTACGTCATTTTCTATGTATTTTTGTTTTTTCTTAAGTGCAATAAAGAATCCATACTAATATTATAAATGTGAAAGTGTGTTTGTTTGTCCTTCTTTCACGTCGAAACGAAGTGACGGATTGGCGTGATTTTTTGTGTGGAGATAGTTGGAAGGCTGGAGAGTGACATAGGCTACTTTTTACCGCGGGAGTTTATCTAATTCCCACGGGAAAACACGTTATAAATTATAATACAATCCAAAAAAAATATATGATCAGAATTACTTGAAACTTGGTACTAATACTCTTCAATAAAATTAAAAACATACACGTTTTAACATTTTTCGAAATTCATCCTATAAGGGTATGAAAGTTTGTGTGAAACCTACCTCATTAGAGATTTTTTTGTAGTTTTAGCGCGAGCGAAGCCGCGGGCTTATATATATATATATATAATATTGAGGTAATATTGAGGTATAAGACCTATCAGATAGATTTTTTCAAACTTTATCTTCGAGATATATATAACATTCATCCACAATTCCAGTCAGAACTACAATAGGGTAATGCGAGAATATAACTCTCGGAAGTACTTTTAACCGGACGACGTTATAAAGACTCAAATGGATTTGGTTAAAACTAATTTTCAAGAAGGCAATGTGACTAGTTTAAATAGCTTGAGTCATTGTAAGGGACACTGTTGTGCGAAAAATCCCGAATTCGATTTTTACATGAATTTTTTGTAGTTTAACATTTTTTTTGTTGGGATGCCTTCTTTTGTAGTGACGTCTTTTAGCAGAGTTATGTTATTATTAAGTGCTCTTAACTGATTTTGATACTATTCAATATTTTTTGTTTGATTTCAAATCAAAGAATCTGTCTGTCTGTCTCAAAATCAGTTCGAATCAGTGAGGATTCACTCTGAAAGTACAATGGGTGCCACCTGTGACCGAGCAGTAGGAACCCACTACTAATGAGAGAGATGCAAGGCCTTTACGTGATCTGCCTTGATAACTTGCTGTAACACGACCAACTTACTGCTACTACTTCGGCCTGCTACTGAAAATACCTTAACAGAAAGGCCTATTAATACTCTGCCTGCTCCGGAACTCAAACCCAGGTTCTAGCTTACAAATTACAATGGTGTACAGTTAGCGCTACCTTTTGGCAAAATTAATGTCTTATTCCAGGTCCATAATCTCTGTACTAAATTTTATCCAAATCTGTCCAGCCGTCGCAAGGTGAAGGAGTAACGAACATGATACCATCCTGATCCTGATGGCAAAGCCAGGAGATCATAGCTATACTAACGCATTGCCCGCAGCTCCGCGCGCGTTCAACAGATTAAAAATACCAAACTTCACAGGATCACCCGCTGGGCTAATCTGTAGATTGTCTGAAAAATTCATCAAAATCGCTTCAGCCGTTTTTTATCCATACATACATACCGATTCTTATATATAGACATACATAAGTACATTTATTTTCTATTAATAAACTTAAAGTGAGACTTGCGCTGGCAGTCTCATATGGATCGAATAGAACAAAGGAAGGCGTGGTCAAACTGCGATCTGCATTACAGATATAGAAAATATGACCGTCGCTCCAGCCGTATTTTAATATTTAATCTATACATATAATAAAACCGTAACTTAACGAAATTGATGTCTACATACATTTCATGCAAAAAGTACTGAACCGATTTTAACAAAATTTTGTGTAGTGATAACTTATTACTCGGAACACCATTTAAGATACCTTTTTCTACAGGAACATCTTTCATTCCCACGGGAAAACACGATAATTGGTTCTATCGAGTGTTCTTAGGTTACATATAACGCTGACTAAACCTTATGAGATACATCAAAACAATGTACTAGAAAAAAAACTGCAATAGTAGGTATATGTCTATGGTCTAACGTACACTCGCAATAATTATTTTTATCAATATTATATATATATATATATATATATATATATATATATATATATATATATATATATATATACATATATATATATATATATATATAGAAAAATTGTTTAATTGTTTTGTAATGGATAAACTAAAAAACTACTGGACCAATTTTAAAAATTCTGTCGCCTATCAAAAGCTACATTATCAGCGAGTAACATGGGACATTAAAAAAAAACGTGTGTGTGTACTTATGTACGCGCGTAAGAGGTTACGAGTATACTTCTTTGGCGTAACAGAACAAAAATAGCTAAAGATTTCATGCCGTATGTCACAACTCTCTTTTTCTAAAAGGAATGCAGCTAACTTCATCATGTCGTTTTTTGGCTGTCGGTGTACGCGCGCATCGTAAAAAACTTACTCTCATAATTTTATCCAAACGTGGTAAAAGAAGTATAACTTCAAAAAAATTGTGATCATAACGAAAATTGTAAGAATTTAACTTAAAGTATCAATAATTTGCTTATAATATCCTAACCTATCCTACCCTAGGCGAGTCGCTAGTATTATATATGTAAATGAAAATATCTATGTACATTTATATGCCTCTCACTCAAACGGCCTTAGTTTGTATGAAAGCGAAGTAAGAGCGGGTCACTAGATAGGTATATACCTAGCCACCCCTAATATATACCTAGTACCTACCCCCTAAGCCCTAACCCCTAACCCCTCTACCCCCAGAGGCCCAGACGAGATCGATAGATGCATCGCGCATTCGTGTCGCGCGGGTCGCGGCCCTGCCCCACTAACACACTTACCATATTGTAAGATAGGTGCTATCGACAATGTTGAAATTTTATATACTCGTAGAAGCGGGTGTTATTTACTGCTTTTATATTTAGTTTTATGTTTTTAGTTGCTTTAACACTTCCTTGATCATAATAATTTCATCTGAATGTCTTCGTTTTAATAGTTTTTTATTAGTTGCACTTATAACTAACTGTACAATGATATTATGAAGTCGATTTTTAATTTTATTCTACTTCTAGTTGATATTTTATGTATCAACTCACAACATCAAATTTCATGGGTTTAAATTTTTTGCATGAAACCCTTATTCTTATTCTGAAATAAAAGTACCCTAAGTTACTTCTTATAACATCAGGTATCTGCCAATGAAAATCCTGTCAAAATCGGTCCAGCCGTTTTGGAAACTAGCCAGAACAAACAGTCAAACAGACAAACAAATATTAAAAAAAAATGTGTTTTAATAAAAGTAATTAAAATAAATAATAATATGACTTAAAATGGCTGCATAGTCGAACTATAAAATGATTTTAATCAAATTCATCATCAAACCACTGCAGAGATTTTCATGAAATTTGGTATGATGATAGCTGGTTATCTGGGTCAACATATAGGATACTTTTTACCGCGGGAAAATATCTCGTTTTACCATTTTCTCCGTGTTTCCATTTCTCGTCGTACCATTTACCATGACTCATGGTCATGACCCCCTATTTTACCCCCGATATATGTAACGCATCAATTTATACTTTGAAACTTACTTTATAATATTTGACTTAAATTATTAACTTTATAATATTTTCAAAAGCAGTGGTAGCCCAGTGGTAGCGCGCTCACTTGTGAAACCGATGGACGCGAGTTCAAATCCCGGGTCTCGCACCTTTGATATTTTTATGTGCGAATCATTTCCAACATGATTACCACTTGTCTTACGGTGAAGGAGAATGGACTATGGCCTGATCCTCCTCTTATTGGGCGACCCATGCCCAGCAGTAGGAACCAGCAGAATACTATATATATATATTTAATTCTTGGTCTTGCTTTATATCATTATATATTTATCAATCTATAATACGGTTTTTCTATCTTAAAATTATTTAAAAGTAATTATTTTGCCCTTAATTTTTTTTTAATTTATACAGAAACAAATTCTTTTGTAACTCAATAAGACAAAGGCTGCTTTTAATTAAAGGGTAGCGATAGGTATAGCAGGCTGGAGTTTTTCTTACTAGAAATAGAAATGATGTCAAACTAGCTCTAATAAAGAAGTCCACAGATAGATAGGTTATTGAAATGTGTTTGTACTAAATTATGCATACAAATCCATTCTGCCATTTTAATGCCATGCCGTGAAAAATATATGAACATACAAACCCATATAAACTTTTATGTATATTAAATTATTTATAGTGAACTATTAATGTTAAAGATCTTATAATAGTACTAGCGACTATCCCTCGCTCCGCTCGGGTTCGTCCCTAGTTTAACGTTTTAATGTTTAGTATAGATTTCTCAAAGATGAGATATTTTCTCGCAGTAAAAAGTATCCTACCTATTGACCCGGATAACCAGCTATCATCATACCAAATATCATCAAAATCTGCCCAGTGGATTACTCGTGATGCGCTCCCAAACAGACAGACAAACAAAAATTCAAAAAAAACTAGATTCGGCCTCTCTATCGATAATAATATCTATTTCAATAAGATTTTCCAAAAAATATTTAATGTACAGATTCGGCTTAGTTACAATTTTTATTACATATATGTATACATTTCGATTAATTTAAAATTAAATTCTTCTTTTCAGATGGACATTTATGTCCAAACAGCTAGTCTGATCGTCGAACAAGTTCTCAAAGGCTACAATGGGACGATATTCGCGTACGGACAGACCGGCACTGGGAAGACCTACACCATGGCCGGGAGCAACTCCGCGCCAGAACTTAGAGGCATCATACCAAATTCTTTTGCCCATATATTTAGCCACATCGCGAAGGCGAAGGATGATGAAAAGTAAGTAGTGCTAGCAGATCTGGACACAATACTCCTTTTTTTTAATGTTGGCACACGTATTTACGCATACCACCTGTAGACAGTACAGGTGTTTATGTGGGACTCAACTGCTAGAAAAGCCACCCACCGAAGTGCGCCAACTCCCTGTGCGTGTCTTGGCTTCGCGCCCGGCTGGGCTGCCGGATGCTAAAATCAACGCGATAGATGCCCGCGTTCAGATGACCAAAAAACAAAATTCTTAGGCTTTACATATTAGTATACTCTTACAATGAAGTAATGAAGTTTTTGTATTTTTTCTAAGAAATGAGATATTTTCCCGCAGTAAAAAGTATCCTATATGTTGACCCGGATAACCAGCTATCATCATACCAAATTTCATCAAAATCTGTCCAGTGCTTTTCTCGTGATGCGGCAACAGACAGACAGACAAAAATTCTAAAAACTATAGATTCGGACTCTGTATCGATAATAATGTTTATTTCAATAAGATTTTCCAAAAAATATTTAATATACAAATTCGACTTAGTTACAATTTTATTATATGTAAGTATAGATTAAAAAAAAATAACAGTAAAATGTCTGAGATTTAAAAACGCAGAAGGTACTTCAAGTCTCTTACTTTTGCGGACGATTGTTTTATTAATTGCACGTAAACAAATAAGAAAGAGGTAGTGTTAGCCAAGTGGTAACGCGCTCGCTTGGGAAACCGAGTGAAGCGGGTTCAAATCCCGGGTCTCGCACCTCTGATATTTTCATGTGCGGATCATTTCCAACATGATTACCACTTGTCTTACGGTGAAGGAAAACATCGTGAGGAAACCTGCATGTCTGAGAGAACCTAGCAAATTTTCGAAAGACATGTGTAGTCCGCCAACCTGCACTTGGCCAGTGTGATGGACTGTGGCCTGAAAGCCCGTCGTATTGAAGGGCGGCCTGTGCTCAGCACTGGCATGTCAAAGAAAAGGTGCTGAATACAAACAAATAAATAATCAATGCATAACGCCACCTGTTGGTATTTCATTGAGCTAATTTTCCTTTGACACTGATGAGACCCCTATGTTCCGAATGGACATGGTAATTCGACACGACCGGTGAGAAATCATGCGCAGGACCGACTACTTAACGCGCTCTCCAAGGCACTCTCCCGGCTCTTACAGAGACTTTCTTAACAAAGACACAATAAATTAAACTTGCCTCGTCGGGACTCCAACCCAGGACCTCCGGATGTGGGTCCCGAGTCGTACATGCTAGCCACTACACCACCGAGGCAGTTCATATATCTATTCATTATTCAGTTATTTGAAAGTTGATTCTCTTTAGTATTGCACTTCATACCTTATTTAGTAGAGGGAAGTCGTGGCGAGTTATTTATGTTATTATTTTTAACGATAATAAAGTATCTGTGTGTTTGTTGTCCTTTACAGCTCAATTGCTGACAAATTTTTAATACAACTTTAATACGGAGATAGTTCTGAATGTAGAGGTGTATAAAGCTTATTTAATCCCTTCATATTATTTTGATTTGAAATTCGTGTGTCTGTTTGTATCTGAAACGGATACGTATTATTTTTATAAGATTTTTGATCAGATAAATTTTGTTTCAATTTGTTCAAAAAATCCGAAAGTAGGCACTAAATGAGTGGTGCATGAAATAAATGGGATTCATGTTAAATGACCCAGACCAAGTTATAATATAGACAGAGTGTGAACTAAACATGTAGCCAAATAATACTGTTTTAAAATAGTAGTACAAATGACAATTTATATGCTGAGTTATAAGTAAATAAATGTTAATAAATAAAAATAGCTAACGGGTTTTATTATAATAATAAAATAAAAAATAAGCTAATATTATGTTAACTCTCTTTTGAGTGGAAGATGACTAATGTTAAACAAATACAACAGAATATGGTATTATATCTACTCAAAAAATCAGTCAAGTGCGAGTCGAGTCTCACATGAAGGGATCCGTACCACAATCGATTTTTCTTTTCATTTGCATGGCGGCCGTTTTCAAATTCGCTATCTTAATTTTTTAATATTTGTTGTTATAGCAACAATACACTCTGTTAAAATTTCTACTCTCTGCCTATGACGGTTCATAAGATACAGCTCTCTGACAGACAGACAGACAGACAGACAGACAGACAGACAGACAGACAAACAGACAGACAGACGGACGGACGGACGGACGGACGGACGGACCCGTGCCGTTAATAAAGCGTGCCAACGGTCCCGTTGGCACCCTTCGGCTACGGAATCCTAAAAATGTTAAATCAATGACCTACATAAAAAAAATCTCTTACTCTTTAAAGAATAAGGGAGAAGAGTAGCATAAACAGGAAATCACGCTACTATTTTGGTCTTCCACATTTATTTTGGTGGACTCCGTCTGTATAATTATTTAGTCTGAGTTTTTAACGTGAGTAATCGCAAATGTATTTCCAGATTCCTAGTATGCGTGACATATTTGGAAATTTACAATGAGGAAGTAAGAGACCTCCTCGGGAACAATCCTCACCAGAGCCTCGAAGTGAAGGAGCGCCCTGATATAGGAGTCTTTGTGAAGGACCTTACTGGTAAGTGTTTGTGTTCACGACACGTTTGGCTCAGTTTGTAGTGACCCAACTTGGTGAGCGAGCGGTCGCGGGTTCTAGTCCCGCTGCGGGCATTCATTTGTGTGATGAACGCGAATGTTTTTACTCCAGTCATGAATATTTAAAATTATATATGTGTAGTGTATCAACTATCTGGTATCCATAACACAAGCCTCGAAGCTCACCATGGAACTAGATGGTGCTGTGTGTTAATTAATGTCCCGAAATATTTATTTATTTATTATTTAAAACTGGCGACTTACCTTTGCTTTTATTTGTTTTAATTTCATTGAACGGTACTCTAATTCTTTTTTTTTAAATAAAAGTGGCCTAAGTTACTCCTTATAATATCAGCTATCTGCCAGTGATAGTCCTGTCAATATCGGTCCAACCGTTTCGGAAATTAGCCGAAACAAACAGACTGACAGAGACAAAAAATTAAAAAATGGTGTTTTTATTAGAAGTACCATATTATATAATTTCATATGCATTCAGTAAAATGCCGTTATTTTGACATTACAAACAGACACTTCAATTTTATTTATCTGTATATATGTATAGATGTCAAACATTTGCGTAATTTATTTATTTATTTATATTTGGGAAACAAACAGTGTTTAAAACACTTAAAAAATACATAAAAGATAGTACACACAGCAGTAAAGTTTCCACTAATATGCATATTATGTTAATGAGCAGTCAAAAAAGAGGAAAATAGCAGAAAAAAACTTACAAAATCTAAAATAAATAAATAAATGAAATAAATCTAAGAAAGTATTAATATGCAAAATAAAAAATAACGGTCAAGTGCGACACGAAGGGTTCCGTACCATAATCGATATTTTTTTAATTAAAAACTTACTTTTTGTAATTCGCCATTTTGTTTATTTATTATTATTTATTTGTTGTTATAGCGACAATAGAAATATATACTCTGTGAAAATTTTAACTTTCTACGTATTACGGTCTGACCGACGGACGCACGACAGAGACTAAGTAATAGAGTTCCGTTGGCACCCAACCTAAAGTACGGTACAAAAATCTATACTAATATTATAAACAGGTAAAGTTTGTGAGTTTGTGACGTTGTAGGGGGTAATCTCTAGATCTACTAAACCGATTTAGATGAAATTTTGTAAGAAGATAGTTTAAGACCCTGTGAAGGACATAGGATACTTTTCATCCCGGTAATTATCCCATATGGGGGTGAAAATGGGTATGAAAGTTTGTATGGGGAACCAAGCCAGGGACGAACTTGAGCGAAGCGATATAATATAAGTCTATAATTAATTACTAGACTAATAAAATTCCCCATTTCAGGATACGTGGTCCACAATGCGGATGAGTTGGAAAAAATAATGGCAGTCGGCAACAAGAGCAGGCACATCGGCGCTACCGCTATGAACATAGAAAGTTCTCGATCGCACGCCATATTCTCCATCACGGTAGAGAACAGCAAGCGAGGTACCGATGGGAAGATGCATGTCAAGATGGGGAAGTTACATCTTGTTGATTTGGCTGTATGTTTGTTATTTAAATGTTTTTTTTAATATATTTTTATTCATCTATACTAATATTATAAAGTGGTAAAGTTTGTGATCTTGTGAGTTTGTGAGTTTGTGACGTTGTAGGGGGTAATCTCTGGATCTACTGAACCGATTTTCAAAATTCTTTTACCACTAGAAAGCCACGTTCTTTCTGAGTGTCATAGGCTATATATTAACCCGAAGAATGAAAAGACTTTTTCATGGTAGTCAGATTTGCAAAGTAAGTCGGAGAAAAAACGGTCGAACGAAAACGTTCTTACGAACGCTGCCTTAACGATGAGAGATATATGATTATGTTCTAGAGAAAAGTTGTAGAGCTTAATAATGCCTACAAAAAAGTCAGCGACAGCATATGTCTAACTTTTATATTTAAGTTACAAAAAGTAGTTTTTTATATTAAAAAAATAATTTAAATCAATAGGTCATGTTTATTGGTCATATTATCAACAATTATGAATTCTTATCAAAATAAGTAAAATTATCGTCTAAAATGTTTAAAACAAAAGACTTTTCCCTTTTACTGCATATAATTTGGACAAATGGTTAAAGAGATAATACAACATATTCGTAGGTATGGACGAACCCGAGCGAGCTGTTTGTCTGGTTTCCTGTTTGTACGGGCTAATCTCCGAATCTATTGGGCCGATTTAAATGAAATTTTGCATGGTGATACCTTATATCCCCGGGCAACATCTTAGATACTTTTCATCCCGGAAAATTAAATAGTTCCCGTGGGATAGTTAAAAATCTATAACAACTTATACAGCTTGGTACACAAAAACTACTAATTAGATTTTAATTAAACTGTACAATAATATAGTTCATACATGACACAAACAAATCAGCTACTTTTCATCCCGGAAAATTAAAGATTTTCCGTGGGATAGTCTAAAAACTATAATAACAGTACACGAAAACTAATGATTGGATTTTGATGAAATTTTACAATAATATAGTTCATACATCAGACTAACAAATAGGTTACCTTTTATCCCGGAAAAATGTACTGTTCCCGTGGGATAGATCTGTTTGTGCTTTTCTAGAGGTGAACCCGAGCGAAGCGAGTGTGAGCCGTATTTTAATAAATTTGTAACTGATCGCTGTCTGTACAATGTACATGGAAGATATTTGAGAAAAACTATTATTAACGCAATATAAACCAAAACAATGATTTTAGAATTTTTGTTTGTGCGTCTGTGCGCGCTAATCTGAGAAACGATTTAACTGATTTGGATGCGGTTTTAACTAATGTATTGTGGTAAGCTTCACCTATCATTTAGTATTTGTTTTATTTCAATCGGTACATAAATAAAAAAGTTACGTCAATTTAAACAATCACCTAAAACAGAACACGAGCAAAGTGAGGGTGAGTCGCTAGTGTAGGTATATCTATACATATAATAAAATTGTAACTACGAGGGAGCGTTTTTATGTGCGCGGAATGAAGGGTAAGGGGTTGAAATAAAAAAACCAAATTATTTTTCCTTTTCAATATATTCACCTGCAAGACGGACTCGTAAGTCGAATCTGTATATTAAATATTTTTTGGAAAATGTAATTGAAATAGATATTATTATCGATACACAGTACGAATCTATAGTTTTTACAATTTTTGTCTGTCTTTCTGTTACCGCATCACATGAAAACCACTGGACAGATTTTGATGAACTTTGGTATGATGATAGCTGTGTATCCGGGTCAACATATAGGATACTTTTTACGGCGGGAAAATATCTCATTTTAGAGAAAAAAATACAAAAACTACATTGTAAGAGTATACTAATATATAAAGCCTAAGAATCTGGTTTTTGGTCATCTGAACGCGGGCGGAGCCGCGGGCAGTGCTAGTAATAAATATATTTAAAAAAATAAGCGAAAAAATTAAAGTTTTTATTAAATAAAATAATGTAACAGTATTATTTTAATAGTAGACTGTGAGCATTTATTTGGTACATATTATTTATTGAAATAACAAAATATTTTATTATGTACTTCTGTTTTTTTTTACTGACGCCATATAAATAAATTATTATAAATATACGGTATCGTTTTCACATTTATTGTACTGCAACTCATTTATTTACTTTTTAAGCATTTTAAGCTAAAGCATGTCAAAAAATTGCCTTTTTTTATTATGAGACCTTCATTTTTATAATACTTCATATGATTCAAAAAAAAAACGTGTGTGTACTTCTGTACGCACGTTAGTAAAGTTATTTTTTTTCGCGTAACAGAACAAAAATAGCGAAAGATTTCACCCCGTATGTCACAGCTCACTGTTTGTAAAAGGAATGCAGCTAACTTCACCATGTCGCTTTTTGGCTGTCGGTGTGCGCGCGCATCGTAAAAATTTAACTCTCATAATTTTTTCCTTACGTCCCAAAAGGAAGTATAAATACAAAAATTACTACACGGATAAATTATATATAAATCGCTCGTATCAAATAAACCTACGAACCTACAACCTTTCTAGTGCCAATTTTTTTTTTACTTTTCAGGGTTCAGAACGACAAAGCAAAACCCAAGCAACGGGAACCAGGTTGAAGGAAGCAACCAAAATTAACCAGTCATTGTCAGTGCTGGGCAACGTCATATCGGCGCTGGTCGACGGCAAGTCCACCCACATACCGTACAGAAACTCCAAGTTGACGAGATTGCTGCAGGACTCCCTCGGGGGGAACTCTAAGACTGTTATGGTATTTATATTTTTTGTTTAGATTTCCCATGTTTTGTTAAAACCGGAAAAAACAAGATTTTTTTGGATATTAAAACATCTATTATTATTGATATTATTGATACTAATATTATATAGAGGTAATGTTTGTGAGTTTGTGAAGTTGTAGGGGGTAATCTCTGGATCTACTGAACCGATTTAGATGAAATTTAGTAAGAAGATAGTTTGAGACCCCGGGAAGGACATAGGGTACTTTTTATCTCGGAAATCATTCCTTAAGGGGGTGAAAATGGGGATGAAAGTTTGTATTAGGAAGCAAGCTAGTGACGAACCCGAGCGAAGAGAGGGAGAGACGCTAGTATATACTTGTATAAAAAAAAGGTAAAATAGAAAATTAGAAATTCCTTTTGAACTTTAAAGATTGATTTTACAGTAATAGGTTATTAAATGAAAATGAGACTTCAATTTTATTGAAAAAAATATGATTTGAGTTTATAATAATTGTCTGTAGTGGCTAGCATGTATGGCACATCCGGAGGTCCTGGGTTCGAGTTCCGGGTCGGGCCAAGTTTAGCTATTGAGTCATTCTGTATAGTAAGCCTCAGTAACAGCCCGGAGTTGGGAAGTTGGCGGTGCTGCACCCTCGTATTGAAGGAAGGTTTACGCCCAGCAGTGGGACGTTTAAAAAAGGGCTGAATATATAAAATATATTGAATTTGAATTTGAAAATATCGTGTTTATGTCGGTAGATAGCGACGGTGGGTCCGGCGGAGAGCAACTACGTGGAGACCATCAGCACGCTGCGCTACGCCAACCGCGCTAAGAACATCGAGAACAGGACGCACGTCAACAGCGAGCCCGGCGACGCGCTGCTCACCAGGTGGGGGTTCGATGCTTGGAGATGAAAATTAATGCCGCTATATCGGCCTTAAATTGGCTTAGTGTGTGTGTGCGTGTGTTTATATGTGTGTGTAAACGGCTGAATGAATTTAGGTGAAAATTAATTACATAGATAGATTTATGGCCTGGAAAAACACTAATGGCCGATTTCACCAACGTCACTTAAGTTTAAGGGATCCCCTAAGCATGGCTAGGGGGCTGTTAGGGGACAGCTTCTGTTTCACCGACAGTTAGGGGTCACCTAAATGTTAAAATGCCACCTAAATATAGGTACTAGAAATACGGGCTCTGACGACGGTAAAAGGAAATTTAATTTAGGGGCTAGTTTAGGGGGACTTTTAACCTAGGGATCCCATACGTAGGTGGTAGCTTATGGGATGTTGGTGAAATCGGGCATAAGGATAAAAAATGAATAAATTACCTGTACAAAATATTACAAATTTAAAAGGCACTGAGGGAAGCACTGTCTAGTTTTATTTAAAAGTATTGATAGTTTTTAATTCTTTTCTCTATTCCACGTGACATTGGTGAAATAATCTATGAACAACTGACACGCTTTGAAGACATTGACAAAGAGAATTAGATTTAATTTAATCGATGTACGATAGACGAATATATTATAATGTACAAACATACCAATTGAAATTAAAAAAAACCGGCTTCCAAGCACTAAAATGTAAAAAATATCTATTCTAAATGAAAACCCCCGTTTACTGTTATTTTTTACATTTTAGTGCCTGGAAGTCGGTTTTTTTTAAGTTTTTATTTTTTCATTTTTTAGTGTAGACGTAATAAGAAGGTAATTTTTAGGAAGAAAGTTTTTTAATAACATATTCGATTAAACAATTTATTGAAAAAATATATTTATTGTTGATTTTTCAAAAACCGCTCGTAAAAACCTTTAAAACAAAACAAAAATTTTCCAAATCCGTTCAGGCGTCTTCGAGTAATCGGTGAACATACATAAAAAAAAGATTCCGACGAAATCCTCCTCCTTTTCGGAAGTCGGTTAAAAATTGCTTACTCTTCTATTAAAGTCGATTTCTGAGCCTATTGAAAACTTTAAACGTTCAATTTTTAATTCCTCCTGATATGAAACATTTCAAACATTCCACAAATAATATATTTTTTTCGAAATTTTGAAATTATTTATCATAAAAGTGAAATTATTTATTAAAGCCATGTTTCTTTTTAGATTCCAACAAGAGATTGATCAGCTCAAGAAGCAGCTGGAAGAAAATTCAAATGGTATGTATATTATGTTTTTTATAAGACAACCCAAAGAACACCTGAATTAAGTAATTTCTCATTATTTCTAAAAATCTAAGTCTAAAAATTCCTTTATTTCTCAAAAAAATTTAATAACTGCATTTAAAAAAAAAGCTTACCCGAGCCGGAAATCGAAATAGCTATCATGAAAAAATTTCAACGTCTCTATTCTATCTAAGAAATATAGTATCTTATAATTGTGTACTTTTTATTTAAAAAAAAATAAACTTTATAAAAAATAATATAAATATTATTATTTTTTTTAAATAAAGAAATGATTAATTTAAATGAAACAATGTCTTTAATATTTGTAAAGTAAAGAGAAATCTGTTATTTGTAAAAATAAACTTTCGCAACATTCAACTTATTACAATTGCAATTTAACTCATTAAATATTTTTATAGAAATAGAAGAAGAGGAAGAAGAAGAAGTGTCCGAAGAAGAATTATCAGATGACACGCTCACAGACCCCGAACTAGATGTGCTGGATCCAGAAGAGAAGAAGATGCGACGAAAAATGAGAAGAGAGGAGAAGGTTAGTTATATTCTTGTTCTTTTTTCAAATCAATTTTGAATTATATACTACTCTGAAGTAAGTTGACTCTTAAGTAAGCTTTTAACCCTCGACGCAAAATGACAGGGTGTTATAAGTTTGACGTGTCTGTGTGTGTGTCTGTCTGGCATCGTAGCTTCCGAACGGAAGAACCGATTATGATTTTGTTTTTTTTTATTTGAAAGGTGAATTAGTCGGGAGTGTTCTTTGTTATGTTTGATGAAAATCTGTCCAAAATGGTCGGGGGATTTTTAAATTTTAAATTTAATTTAGTTATTCTTTTTACAGGAGAAATTGAACCGTGAGAAAGCTCACCAAGCGCGCAAAGTGCTGGAGGAGAAGAAGGCCGAGCTGCAGAGGACCAAGTAAGATTTGCCATTTTTTAGAGTTTTGTACCGTAATAAAAAAAAACGAAAAAAATATCACTTCATCGTCCGTTTGTCTCTAAAATTAAAATTAAATGTTTTTAATCGGATTTTTTATGTTATCTAAAAATATCATTATTACTAATAACGCTACCTTCCTTTGCTTGCTTTGGAGTAAACGAGCGAAGCGGGTTCAAATCCCGGGTCTCATACCTCAGATACTTTTATGTGCGAATCATTTCCGACAAGATTTCCATTTGTCTTACGGTGAAGTAAAACATCGTGAGGAAACCTGCATGTCTGAGAGAACCTAGCAAGTTGTTTGTAGACATGCACAGTCCGTCCGCACTCGGCCAGCATGGTGGACTATGGTCTGTCCTTGCATTAGGAGGCTCAGGCCTTTTCTTTATTCTAACACATCATTGCCAAAATATTTTACAATTATTTTATTTTTAAAACACCATAAATATAAGTATACAATAAATATAAGCTGGTGCGGTGTGTGCAGGAAGCAGCAGGAGGAGCTGAAGGAGAAGCTGCAGCGGCTGGAGTCGAAGGTGCTGGTGGGCGGCGAGAACCTGCTGGACAAGGCGGACGCGCAGCGCCGCCTGCTGGAGCGCGCCGCCGCCGAGCTCGAGCTGCGCGCGCTCAACGAGATGCGGCTGCGCGAGGACCTGCAGAAGAAGGAGGTGAGTCCCGTGGGGGTGGGAGTGGGAGTGGAGGTGGGAGTGGGAGTCACGAACGTTGCGTTTTATTTAAACTTTTGATACAATTCGACTGTTATGTAAATTTATTTTAATTTTATTTGAAAGTCAGGATTACGAATATGAATTTGTGATTTGAAATTATTGTTTATTTTTTAACCTTTTATAAATATTATTTTTAGACTTCTGTTTGAAAATTAGTAATTTAATGTACCAAGATTTATGAATATGGGTTTTTTTTATTGTTATTGACATAATATATTTCTTTATTTCTTCTTTGCTATAAAAATACTCTCTGGTATCGATGCATAATCCTTGACAGAAAAAGATATTTTTTTTTGGTTTTTATGTTGTAAAGTAATATACTGTACTAGGGAAGGGTAGCTCTATGATAAGTGAGGGATTTACAGAAGAAGTTGGGTGTTCAGAATGTGTTCGAAAATAAAGTTTAAACCAATATTATTAATAATCGTTTACACTTCCACTCGATAGATGGCGTTGTATTTATCTTATTCGTTATCTTATTAATCTGAATCGCGCTATGGTTGTGTTCTACGAAGAAGTATATACGGCTGCTTTATTGTAAAATAAATTTGTCTCGCTCTGAGGTACAGTAGTTTCATTTTAGTATCACTGGGCTGAAAAAGCAATAATTTGGCACCTAGTAGTTAGTACCGTAATTGTACTGTGGGTGAGGGGTTTATACTTACAGACTAAAGGTTTATATAGATAGAGCTCGCCGATAAAAATATCAAAATCAATAATAGTAGCGTGGTTCACTGTTTACGTTACTATTCTCGACTTTGTTAAAGAATAAGACAATTTTTTTATAAATAATGCAATAAATACTAAATTATTTTGTATTTATATCTATTATATATATTCTTTCTTTCCAAAAATAAAGAGCATAATGTTAGTTATTTAAATGACGAAACAATATATTTTTTCTTTATACATTTATAATAGATTCACAATTCTAACTTATATTTAATTTGTATATGTAACTCATAAATTTGTTTCGTAAAACTACTGGTAGACGTTAATAAAATTAAATTTAAATGAAATACAATGAAATGAAATGAACTGAAATACAGTAAAATGAAATGACATTCAATAAAATGAAATGCAATGAAATAAAATGTAACGTAACGTCAGGCGGAGCGGCTGGACCTGGAGGAGCGGTACTCCAGCCTGCAGGAGGAGAGCGCCGCCAAGACGCGCAAGCTGAAGCGCGCGGTGCAGCTGCTGGGCGCGGCCAAGGCGGAGCTGGCGGACCAGCAGCGCGAGCAGCAGCGCGAGATGGAGGGCATCCTGGACGGCGTGCGCGCGCTGCGCCGCGAGCTGCAGCTGGCCGACATCGTGCTCGACGCGTACATACCCAAGGAGTACCAGGTGACCGACACGCACACTCGCCTTGTATAATCTATACATATAAATAAAACTGAAGCGTCTGTGTGTAATATCAGAATAACTGCGTTTTACTAAATGCAAATGGAATTATATACGGTACTTATAAGAAAAACAATTTTTTTTTAATTTTTTGTCTGTCCGTTTGTTCCGGATAATCTCTGAAACGGCTGAACTAATTTTGACGGAGCTTTCACTGGAAGATGGCTAATGTTATAGGGAGTAACATAGGCTATTTTTATTTTAGAAAAAGTTTCAATGTTCCGCTCAAAAAAATTAAAACGTACCAAGGGACGAACCCGAGCGAAGCGAGGTTGAGTCGCTAGTCTATACTAATATTATAAAGAGGTTAAGTTTGTGAGTTTGTGACGTTGTAGGGAGTAATCTCTAGATTTACTGAACCAATTTAGATGAAATGTGGTAAGAAGATAGTTTGAGACCCTGGGAAGGATACTTTTTTATCCCGAAAATCATCCCATAAGGGGTTAAAAATGGGGGTAAAAGTTTGTATTGGGAATCAAGTCAGTAGTTTAATAATTTATTATGCAACAGGCCCTGATCGAGCAGTACGTGCACTGGAACGAGCAGCTGGGCGAGTGGCAGGTGAAGTGCGTCGCCTACACCGGCAACAACATGGCGCCGCGCCTGCACGCGCCGCGCGCCGCCGCGCACGTACGTATGCGGGGGAGGGAGAGGGATATATAGAGTTTATACTACTGGTGGAGAATATGGTGATCGAACCCGTTACCTTTGGCGTAGCTGCGCCCCGCCGCTCACATACGTATGCAGGGGAGAGATTGATTGTGAGAGAGAGAGTGTGTGTGAAAGAGAGAGAAACAGAGTAGAGAGGGATGGGGTTAGAGAGAGAGGGACATATAGACAGGACTGCCAGTAGAGACAACTGCTGCCAGTAAAGCCAACTTATTTTATACCACCGGGTCACTGAATTTATATCAAATCAAATTTTATTATACAAATTAACAAAACTGTTGAGAAATACTTTGTGACGAATAAAAAATTTCTATAGAAATACTTAATAACTTAAAATGAAATATATGTACATAAAATAACCATAATTTACAATTTTCGTATCCAATTATACGATCTGGCAGCCCTGTATATAGAGTTTATGCTACTGGTGGAGAATATAGTGATCGAAACCGTTTCCTTAGACGTAATCAGGGATGGCTTAAGTGGCTAATTTTGACTAGGCACTTAAATTTTGACATTTTTTTAACAATGTGTTTAATTAAAAATAAGCTAAGTTATTCACATTTCTAATAATATTACTTCTAATAAATTTTGCTATATTTATGTTTTTTTCGTATAAAAATTGTTACATTAAGTTTAAAAGTGCAAATTGTTTATCGATAGCATCTTAAATTTCATCATGTACAATCAAACAAAGCCCTTAACAAATTACCTTTGTAATATATTTTTTTGCCATAAACCTACATCTACACTACTATTATAAAGAGGAAAATTTTAAATTTTTGTATGTTTGTAACAAATAAACTTAAAAACTACTGGACTTAGATAAAATTTGGTAAGAAGGTAGTATCGGAAATCATCCCTTAAGGGGGTGAAAATGGAGATGAAAGTTTGTATGGGGAATCAATCTAGGAACGAACCCCATCGAAGCGAGTACTAGCTAGTTTGCTATAATTTTCAAATTGTATTCACCCCGTTTTAACGTCCCACTTCTGGACACGGGCCTCCCTTCAATACGAGGGGGATCAGGGTGATGATGTAGTTCACATCTATACAGATAAATAAAATTGAAGTGTCTGTTTGTAATGTCAAAATAACAGCTTTTTATTGATTTAATTTTAATTTAGTGGAATTATATACGGTATATATAAGAAAAACACAATTTTAAAATTTTTTGTCTGTTTGTCTGTCTGTTTGTTCCAGCTAATCTCTGAAACGGCTGGCCCGATTTTTATGGGACGTTTACTGGCAGATAGTTGATGTTATAAGGAGTAACTTAGGCTACTTTTATTTCAGTACAGAATTAGGGTCCCGCTCAAAAAAAAATACACCTAGGGACGACGTGAGTCGCTAGTGTCTTGTAATAAATAAAAGAAATAATAATGTATCAAAACCATGAACCCCCCAGTTCGAGCCGCCGGACCTGTCGGACCGTTACCTGTCGTACGCGACGCCGGCGCGCGCCGCCAGCCGCCTGGCGCGCCCGCCCTCCGCCGTGCCGCGCCCGCACACCGCCCTGCGACAGCGACAGTAGACAGCTTACCTCACCGTTTACCCTAGCTTACCTGTAGTCGGCTTACCTAATTGCGTAGTTGATACCATTAACACAGTCTATTAAAGTAAGTGAGGTGAAGTAAGCAGGGCTGCCAGTAGAGCAAACTTATTTTATACCACTGGATCACTCAAATTATACCAAATCTATTTTTTTTTTATACGAATTAACGAAACTGTTGAGAAATATATTTTTTTAATAAAAATACATAATAACTTAAAATGAGACATACATAAAATAAGCATATTTTTACAATTTTCGTATCCAATTATACGATCTGGGAGCCCTGCCATTAACACAGTCTTTATCCAAACAATTGGCTAATCAAAGTGAGGAAAATGTGGGTTAATGCTCTCAACATTCCCAACCCTGCTTGTAATATGTATTTTTGTATGGTAGTCGGGAGCTTGAGTTCGAATTGTAGGTACCTAGTTTTGGGTTGACTTATAAAAATATAGTTGATTGATGGTGTCAATTAGCCAATTATGTGTGTTTATCTATTTATTATATATAAGGTCAGCGCAAAAATTATATGAACTAATGTTTACACTGTACTTATACAGTAAATTCTTATTTAAAAGTAAAATTTCTCATCGTTTTTATATATACAAAGTATTTTTTATTTTATTTGTACGATATTCATCCAAGTACTAAATAATGATCTTTTTCTTTGAAACCATTTATTTAGTTATAGTGTTCCTTTGGATTAATTTAATTACAATATTTTTTATTTTTTTATTAATTCATAAAACTAAATATAAAATTAGAATATTTTTACGCTGACAACCTCATAAATATATATTTTAGTAAATTTAAATTGTCTCAATACTGAGTTACAATGGTGTTCCTTGCCAGTGTTGTTCTGTCACTGGTGTTACTGGTATTATACACGATTTTTTTTTACTTTTATCTCCACATTCCGATGTATTGTGTAACCAAATTTTTAAAGTTCTGCTGCTTATGAACTCAGACTAAGAAATAATATAGACAGAGCGTCATAGATCTAAACATGATGTCAAACAAATGACAATTTGTATACTTAATGATAAGTATTACTCTTGGTCCTTGGAAGGGAAAGAGAATTAATGCTTAAATTATAAATATAAAAGAATATAGTATTATTTTTATTAACCATATTTTTTTTCATTTAAATTGTATATTAATTCGAATACATATAGAAAATTTGACTTTTTCTTTAAATAAGATCTATATGGCAAAATCGAGTATAGTAGCATAAACAGCAAATCACGCTACTATTTTTAACTTTGACATTTATTTTGGCGGACTCCGTTTATATAATTCTATATTACTGAGCTTGAAATACTCTCAATTATGTAAGAAACTAGATTTTTACATAAGATTGTTAAATTTATAAAAACTTACCTAAATTTTGCTACGAATCAATTGATGTTTTATTTCACTTTTTAATTACACGATAATTATAAAATATTTAGTAATAATAAATTGTGTGTAATTTCGTTTAGACCATTTAAGAGTGACAGCTAATTTTAAATTATAATTATGATATTAAATAACGTAGATCTCACTAAGTTTGCTTAAAGTATTATTTTGTTCACAATCAAATTTAAAGATGGGTAATGTTTTAAATTAAGTAACTCAAAAATAAAACATACCTACCATCGTATTACTGTATGTAATAATAAAATGATTATCGATAATCAAAAAGGCGGGAAAAATTTGATCTTAATTTTTTAGGCACTGATAATTTTTATTCTACCTATTTTAAAAAAATGAAAATATTATTTAATTATTAAAAATAACAAAAAAAATGTATATTATATTGCCTTTAAAAATAATTTTGGATTTAATTATTCGTATTCTAGTCACATTCCAGTGGTGTTTATATTTTAATTTTCAGTATTATAACGTGTGACGGCATTAAATGTTTGTATTTAAATGATTTATGCACAATTATGTATCATTGCGATTTTAGTGTATTTTGTAGTAAAGTATTTTACGTAAATAAAGATTTTGTACTCACAAAAGTGTTTTTTTTTTACTGTAAGTACTTTAATTTTTTTTTATTATTTCTTTCAAATTAATGAATCAAAAGTCAAAATCTAGAAGCCATGTAGATTTCGATAACATATTGTGTTAGACGTTGAGCAAAATTCCTTGTTAATTTTATATATTTTTTTAAAATGACTTTAATAGGGGCTATTTTAAAAAAAGTCACATCGAAGGAAGTTATTAATGAGTCAACAAAATATACGTCTCCGCCACCTGAGATAAATGAGTCGTTGTTACGTAAAACACGCAAAACACGTAAACACCGGGTAAGTCAAATATATTGAATATAGCTATTGCCCGCGGCTTTGCTCGCGTATTATCTAATATATAAATATCTCGTGTCACGGTGTTATTGGTCGACCATTGAAATTGGTGGATTGGCTCGACCAATTTCAATGTTTTTTTTGTACATTTGGTAGGTATGAGAATAGGTCGTAAAGTATTTTTCACCCTCCTACCCCCACTCCCCATTTTTCGTGATTTTAGTATTCTTGTATGAACAATAATATAATAAATACATAGGGACGAACCCAAGCGAAGCGAGGATGAGTCGCTGTATAACATAAGGCGAAAGCGTTTTTTTTGTAGATTGAAAGCGGGCGTAGCCGCGTGTTCTGCTAGTATTTATATATACTCGTAATTGCTTAGTTCTTCCCTAAAGATCATAGGCCGTAGGGTGATGTTAGATAACTTATAACATTTCTCAATAAATTTCTAATCAAATGCAAAGAATCGCTCCAGCTTTATAATATTAGAATTTATTACCTAATAGCCCGAGAGCTCGTGACGAATTTTGGGAAGGTCCTTTTGGCAAGTTGAAATTGAGAAAAAATATAAGTTCGTGAATTGGCGAGTCCAGTCCCGCGCATTTGGTATAACTTTAGCGGTTATTTCGTTACTGCGCAGTATATAACATTTGCAAAAAAAAATATATCCAAAAAAACATATTTTTGGCAACTTTATTTTTTTTAATCTTTTAATTTAGTTTTTATATAATTCAAAAAAAGAACCCCAGACGCTTTTGTCGGTTATAAAGTATTACCAGACCTCTCCAAAGATATTTTATTAAAATTCCCAAAAATATACTGGCAACCTGAAATTTTAATCACGTATTTATTGAGTAATTTTCCATAATACTTGCAAATTGCCAGACAAATTTACCGGTTTTTAACAATTATCAGGCGTAAATAAAGTTTACAAATGAGTACTACAAAAAAGCCTTATGCGTAGTCACAGGTGCGAGAAAGATAGCTTATCGAGGTATGCCAGCAGCTGATGGGGACCCAAGGTCCTCGCGCTGTGATTGGTTATCGAGAAACCGCACGTTTCGAATATGGTTCGGGCTCTGCGTTCACAACAGAGTATTTTAGAGTAGTTTATTAGGGTTCCGTAACCAAAGGGTAAAACGGGACCCTATTACTAAGACTCCGCTGTCCGTCCGCCCGTCCGTCTGTCTGTCCGTCTGTTACCAGGCTATATCTCATGAACCGTGATAGTTCAACAGTTGAAATTTTCACAGATGATGTATTCCTATTGCTGCTATAACAACAAATACTAAAAAAACAGAATACAAAAATTGCTCGTTTAAAGATATAAGATATAGTGTATCTATTCCATATTAACCGTTAAAACGTATTTAGGGACGAACCCGAGCGAATCGAGGGTGAGTCGTTAGTAAACAATAAGATTATCAAGAGTAATTTTCTCTCGATATTTTTATCAGTGTGTCGGAAAGCTAAAAATGTACTCATTTTCCTCTAGTATTCTCATATTCAATCTATCGTGGACTCCTCTTCACCGCCCTTCGACGGACACAGAATGCTTAGAAACCTTCCAGCGTGGCAACGACTCATTCAGGACATTTACTTAGATAATGTTAGAATAATCAATAGCATCATTACTGCATATATGCGTGGGGTAAGTAATAAGTATTGATTGATGTATACTCATCATCATCATGGGACATTAACACACAGCACCATCTAGTTCCATGGTAAGCTACGAGGTTTGTGTTATAGATACCAGATAGTTGATACACTACACATCTTATATATAAAATTTCCATGTCACAATGTTAGTTACTGTACTTCTCCGAAACGGCTTTACCGATTTTTACCAAATTTTATATGCGTATTCAGTAGGTCTGAGAATCGGCTACTATCTATTTTCCATACCCCTAAGTGATAAGGATAAGGGTGGTCCTCCCAGATCCCACCCCAGGGACGAACCCGAGCGGAGCGAGGGTGAGTCGCTAGTATATATCTTTATATATATATATATATATATATATATATATATATATATATACGCATATTATGCTTTTAAAAATAGTCTTTAAAGGAAAATGAAATAATGCTAAATAAATTACCTACTGAATAATCAGCTATTGAAAATGGGTTTCAAGTGTTTTATATCACAGATGGCGCTGTTGACTTCTATTTTGTTTACCACGAAAAAAGAAAAAGAAAGAAAAGTGAAGTTTAGAAAGTGTGCAAGTTTGTTTGTTGAATTTAAATGCAGGTTGAATTTTGCTATATTGAAATATATAAAACTCGCTCGGGTTCGTCCTTAGGTACGTTTTAAATTAAAATGGATATAGTATGTTATCCTTAAGAGATAGACATATTATGCCATTGCGGACTTTTCTGTAGACCTATATAAGATACACAATTCCACCATACATAATTTTCTTATATCTCAAAGGGTTTAGGCAGCGTTTTCGCTGAAAGCTCTAGACGGCTTTTTTTCCCGACACCTCCTACAAATATCGTTATATTTAACCAATGTCATACAAAAATAACAAATTATATACTAAAATCTTTCTCTTGAATCACTAAAAAAACCGCATCAAAATTCGTTACGAAGTTTTAAAGGTTAAGCATACATAGGGACAGACAGACAGCGGGAAGCGACTTTGCTTTATACTATGTAGTGATTAGGTAAATTACAATAAACAAATTGCTGTGAGCACATCTACTTGGGAACTAAACTGAACAATACATAAAAAATTGACACCGCCATCTATGAAAACGCAGTGCAAACTTACCTAGTAAGGGCTGATTTTTCTTCTGTAAAATTATTTGATTTAATTTTGATTTAGTTTTATTCATTATTTAATTTTTCTAGACTTAACAATTCTTTTTTTCGAGTATTTAAAACATATTTTAAATGTATGTTTTTAACATTTTTATATAAACATCAAAAACATACAATTCATATTACGCGATCTATTGACATTTTTGATGTTAGGTATATATAAGAAAAACAAAAACAAATTATCCCTCGGGAACCGTATATTTTTACGGGATAAAAATTAGCCTATGTGTTATTCCAGACTATAATCTATCTCTGCGCCAAATTTCATCCAGATCCGTTCAGCCGTTCTGGAGTGAAAGAGTAACAAACATCGATACTTACAAACAATCTTCATATTTATAATATTTATACAGATATGGATGAATCCAATATGTCTTCCACAGGGCAAAGTCGACAGTCATTGGTCAAAAAAATTACCAAGTTTAAATCAACAGTATTATGTAAACAGGGTGCATCGGTATAGAACAATCAAACGCGAAAATAAAGAAATATACAAACGTATTCTAAGTACTGTAAGTTTATACTTCATATTATTAACTTAAAATATACTTAGTTTACTGAATATTTAAAAATAATGTTTAAATTAAAATTCTTTAAATGTGACAAAATCAGTGATGCGCTTCCAAACAAATGGAATCAATAAATAGATTTTAATATTAAGCTTCCTATATTTCCAAAATTGAGGGCCGGTTACATAATATTATTTAATAATAACAAAACATACTTAGAATGAACTAGCGACTCACCCTCGCTTGATTCCCCATACAAACTTTCATCCCCATTTTTACCCCCTTAAGGGATGATTTCCGGGATAAAAGTATCCTATGTCCTTCCCAGGGTCTCAAACTATCTTCTTACCAAATTTCATCTAAATCGGTTCAGTCGATCCAGAGATTACCCCCTACAACGTCACAAACTCACAAAATTTACCTCTTTATAATATTAGTATAGACTAGCGACTCACTCCCTAGTTACGTTTTAACGTTTAGTATAGATTTCTCAGAGATAAGATATTTTCTCGCAGTAAAAAGTATTCTATTTATGTTGACCCGTATAACCAGCTATCATCATACCAAATTTCATCAAATTCTGTCCAGTGGTTTTCTCGTGATGCGTTCCTAGACAGACAGACACACAGACAAAATTCTAAAAACTATTTTGGTCTCTTAATCAATAAAAATGACTGTTTCAACAAGTTTTTCCAAAAAATATTTAACTTTGATCTCAATATATTGTACTCGTATAGATTACCATCATACTTATTTTTATAAAAAAATATTTATTTTATTTTTTAAATTATTTCATAGCGACCTCGCGTAGTTCCAACAACAGAGTTAAATAGAGATTGGGTCAAAAATAAGCGAGACATTGTTCATATGACAAAGAAGAAGTTTGTACTGTTTCCTGTAAACGTGCAAGATGTCATGGAAGATCCATCTTTTGCTGCACCAGGAGATGTTCTGCGGCCAAAGTACTAAATTTATAATTTCTCTTAATTTAGAAAGAATTACCATTGCCTGCGGCTCCGACCGCGTTCAGATGACCAAAAAACAAATTCTTAGGTTTTACATATTAGTATAATCTTACAATGCAGTTTTTGTATTTTTTTCTCAGAAATGAGATATTTTCCCGCGGTAAAAAGTATCCTATATGTTGACCCGTATAACCAGATATTACCATACCAAATTTCATGACAATCCCTCCAGTGGTTTTTCTGTGATGCGGTAACAGGCAGACAGACAGTCTAAAATTCTAAAAACTACAGATTCGGCCTTTGTATCGATAATAATGTCTATTTCAATAAGATTTTCCAAAAAAATATTTAATGTACAGATTCGGCTTAGTTACAATTTTATTATATGTATAGATGAAATTTCATTTACCAATAGAGTGTACATAACGTTAAAAATCCGAGGAGGATCAACTCTAGCGACGCTTGCGGCTGAGTTGTTCACAGACGTGTGTCCTGAAACTTGTAAGCTGTTCCTAGAATTGTTAGACGGAGATGGAGTAGGCTTTGGTTACGTTGGTACGCAATTTTTCAGGTAAGATATTTGACTTAACAGTATCCGTATTCTGGTCTAGGGGCTAGCATGTACATTTGAAGGTCCTGGGTTCGAGTCCCGGTTCGAGCCCAGTTTAGTTATTGAGTCTTTCTGTTAAAAAATTCCCAGTAACAACTCGGAGTTGGGAAGTTGGCAATGTTTTGCCGCTGTGCCTCCGGGACAATTCTACGTCTGATCTCTACCCAGTTGTGTCCAATCTCCACAGCAGAATTTGAATGTGAAAAGAGTGTACTTGTGTCTGTGCGTACACTTGTGCACTATAATATCTCCTGCGCAGTTGGCTAGTCTCAATGAGATTGGCCGCCGTGGCCGGAATCTGACAGAAGGACTATATAATTTTTATTTTGGATTTGTATTCTAAAAACTGTATGGAGTAGGTACATCCGTGAATATCACATACATTTACAATATTTTTCAGTAGTGTTTTTATTTCCCATACGTACGGAAAAGCGCCATTTCGGGTGTATATTCTGCAGTATGTGTTTAAGATATTAGCTACACTAGTGTAGGATATTCCTAAATACACTGCATGAATGAATTTTATTAAATCTTTTTGTAATTTGTTTTGTTTAAAATTTTACTTTTGAGTCAGTTTTGGAATGGACATTTTTATGTGTTGATACCTTTTCATTAAAATTTAGTATTAAAAGGCGAATAATATATTATCTATACTTATAATGTAGATATTTTAATTATCCTTTTCAATTTAAAATTATATTAAAAAAAGCACTCACGATAAAATGTTTTTTTTCATTCTTGACTATTTTCATTCGTTTTGTTTTTTAAATAAGTTTTAATACTTGCATAATTATAAATAGTAGGCATTAAAAGTGCAACCTCATTTCTATAACCTATTAGATAATTAAAAATAAACATTTTGACAAAAATGACAAAATTATGATAAAACTGGTTTTATGCCTCATGTTATTTTTTACGAGTATTTTCCTATTTCTTATATTGATTTACATAAACGTGATAGATATTCGGAAAACTATTGACGATGTTGGTTTCGGACTCGGTTTCAAGTGGAAATGATATTTTAGTTAAAATTGTCAGTCCTGAAGGGCAGATGTATACTGGGTACTTCCCTGAAGACACTCTCATAGAAGAGGTTAAAAACGGTGCAATAGATTACTTCTATCCATCAGGAGAATCTGGTTCTGGACGGTTTAAAATCGTACGTGTGTGTGATACAACAACATTACACGATTTCCTTACACTAGCCCAAGAGCAGATAGCCATGTATGAAGAATTGCTATTAATTGAACGACGTATCCCTGAAGCTGGTACACTCTGGGATCTGGGAGCAGTTCGCGCTCCACAGCCAGCTGCCATAGCAGCAGCGACAGCATCACTACCAATCCCACAAAACGCTATTCGACAACCAAATTTACAATCTTTACTGTCTACAAATGAACTTTCGTTTGAACTGAGAAAAATACTGATATCTTTGATAGAAGCCGGTGCACGGTTGGCAGCGGCTGGTAAAAACTATGAATTAACTTTATCTCAGCTATCTGCCGCGTTAGACGAGCCGCAGAGAACGCAACAAATTGTCGTACAAGTTATTACGCCAGAGGAAATCGCATCAAGATTCAACATACATAATAATATAGAAGCAAACGAAGAGTCTACATCATCTTCTGTTGGTGACGAGCAATATAAACGCGCGGAGCATTTGCAGCGTTTTCTAGAGAAGTTCCGCGCTTGGAGAACTAGGATAGCGCCTCCACCTAACCCTGAATCGATTGCCACTCTCAAAGATCTTGGGTTTTCGTATGAGGATGTTGATACAGCACTTCGGTCTACTGGATGTAATGTACCAGCAGCAGCGTCCTGGCTCATTGGTGAAAGAGGTTCTAGCGTTTTTGAACTAATCAATGGTCTACCAGAAGGAGTTATCCTGCAAACCTTGCTAAAACAACCGCAAATACAACGTGGTCTTTTGAATACTCGAATGTTAATTGCATTCATAGCAATGGTTGGACAAACAGGGAGTGCGTCGCTGTGGTTAAACTCACCTCACGGAAGTCCGCTCCTCTCGCAAATATCTAGAACATATCATTCGGAGAAATATTGCCTCGCCGTTAATCAGTTTTCGGAAAGACAAAAACATGCTTCGAGACCCTCTACTTCTGGACAAAGAAATTGATATTTTTGATGTAATGGTTTTTTGTTGCCATGTATTTACAATATGAAATTGTTATTAAATCATGTTTAAAATAGTAATTTTTTTTATTTTTACATGGCATATGTTAAATGCGAAGGATTATAAGTGTTTGAGAAATAGCTGGATAGATTTGGATGAAATTTAATATTACAGATATTGTGATCTTGAGTAACTAGTGACGCACTCCATCGAAGTGAAGGCGAATCCCACTCAATAACTGACTGATTGAACTCAGAAAGTAATAATTATACGATCTTGAAATTTGGTCAAACGATTGTTTGTGTTACGTAAGAAGTTTAAATTCTAAGACTTGAAATTTATATAAAACTAGATAATGGCTTTACATAAACTACTTGAGCAAAGCTCTATACAAAAGCCATAAAAATAATCTTTATATTTATTTTTAACTAGCATTGCCTGCGGCTCCTCCCGCGTTCAGATGACCAAAAACCAAATTCTTAGGTTTTACATATTAGTATACTCTTATAGTGCAGTTTTTGTATTTGACCCGAATAATCAGCTATCACCATACCAAATTTCATTAAAATCCCTCCAGTGGTTTTTCTGTGATGCAGTAACAGACAGACAGACAGACGGACGGACGGACGGTCGGACGGACGGACGGACGGACGGACAGACAGACAGACAAAAATTCTAAAAACTATAGATTCGGCCTCTGTATCGATAAAAATGTTTATTTCAATAAAATTTTCCAAAAAATATTTAATGTACAGATTCGGATTAGTTACAATTTTATTATATATATAGATATATATATATAGATAACTAAAATATTATAAATAAAAATGAATGTTCGTATGTTTGTCCTCTACACGTTTCTGAACTATGATCCGATTGTGATGAAACTGTTGGGTTATTCTGTACATATACATGTGAAGATTCCTAATGCTAAAAAAATATTTTTGTATTTTACGCTATCCTAAGCCATTCAAACTTAAGGACGCGCCCAAGCGAAGTGAGAGTATAAATTGCTAGTATAAAAAGCACTAAAAAGTAAAAAATAACTGATTGGTAGTTTTCATTTACTATACATACCCAATCAAATATTTTCGAAGTCGGTGTGCTTTGCTTTGTATGGGCTGGCACCGATTTCGAAAATATTTGATTAGGTATGTATTTAATAGGTAGGCTTTAATTACTTAGCCAAAGCACACCGACTTGGAAATATTTGATTAGGTATGTATAGTAAATGAAAACTACCAATCAGTTATTTTTTACTTTTTAGTGCTTTTGTTTGAAGTCGGTTTTTATTTTTTTGTTAAAAAGTTTTTATTTTTCCCTTTTTAGTGTAGACAGTAGTAGCAAAGTAAGGATTCTAACGTGTTAGGCTTGTCAAATCAAACAAAATAAGCCCAAACTCAAAGTATCTACTATTAGCCGTTGAAGAGTTCCACCTATCCACCTTCTCATCTCATCCAACAACACCGAACCACTGTACTATCAACGGAAATAGAAATACTTGCAAAGTTTCAAGTCAATATGACAATTAGAAGTAGGTTAAATTCATCATTAGTTGTTTTTCCACCCTTAGGGGTAGTATTTTTTTTTGAAATTTAAATGGGACCAATCTGGAAGTATACCCTTTCAAACAAAACAAAAATTGTCCAAATCGGTTAATAAATGACGGAGTTCTGAGGTAACAAACATAAAAAAAAAAAAACATACAGTCGAATTGAGAACCTCCTCCTTTTTGAAGTCGGTTGAAAATATAACAGCAGCAAAGTTTGAAAATTACAATATAAATATACATATAAAAACATCAAATACGATATCAGAAAGGTTCCCAACCTGTACTGGTGTGGGGGCGACGTGGTGTACAACAACGGCTTCGGCTGCTACGCGCAGCGCGGGCGAGTGCGGCCTATAGCTGCTGAGAATTACCACTTTTCACACTCCATGCCAGGTTCTTTTTTGTGATTTTAACTATAATACTTTCTTAGATTTACGCGAATATTTGGCATTTTAAATAAAACTATCTTTTCGGATTATTTCGCAGATTAATTTTGATTTTTGGTTCCTGACGTTTCGAATGCTTTACAGCAACCACGGTCACGGGACTACCAGGCCTGCCAGGGGTGCCAGGCACTGTCTCTAAGGTTTAACAAGTATATAACGTCTTTGAGACGTCTAAAACCTGAGTCTCTCCTGTGACCATGATTACTGTAAAGCATTCGAAACGTCGGGAACCAAAAATCATATTCTATCCGAAAAGATAGTTTTCTTTATATTATTTAATATCTATAAATATAACAGGTTTGCTGTCGATGCGTGTGTCGTCTGAAGGAGACGTGTGCGGTATATTCAACATCACATTCAAACCTCTTCCGCAGTTTGATCTACGGAATGTTGTTTTTGGACGAGTTAGAATTGCTTTAATTTATTTTACTACAGGAAAATCTTTCATTTCCACGGGAAAACACAACAACTGGTTCTATAGAGTCGTCATTAGAAATTTACATGGAAACCCAAACCTTAAGAGATAGGTATATCGAACAAGGTATCCGAAATTTGTAGGTAATAAGGTCTATAGAAAAGTCTACAATAGCATGTCTTATTCCTCTTTATTATTTAATTATTATACTCCTGAGGTACACTCACATTAACTATTTTTATCTATTTACTAGCATTGCCGGCGGCTCCGCCCGCGTTCTGATGGCCAAAAACCAAATTCTTAAGTTTAACATATTAGTATACTCTTACATTGCAGTTTTTGATTTTTTTCTCAAAATGAGATATCTTCCCGCGGTAAAAAGTATCCTATATGTTGACTCGGATAACCAGCTATCACCATAGCAAATTTCATCAAAATCCCTCCAGTGGTTTTTCTGTGATGCGGTAACAGACATACAGACAAAAATTCTAAAAACTATAGAATCGGCCTCTGTGTCGATAATAATGTTTATTTCAATAAGATTTTCAAAAAAATATCTAATGTACAGATTCGGCTTGGTTACAATTTTATTATATGTAACTATAGGAAACGTACTTATTGGGGACAGATCCGAGCGAAGCGAGGGTAAGTTGCTAGTATATAAAAAAAAAACTTTGATCTCGTTAAATTTTTTGACTGACTTCAAATCCAAGTTGGTTCAGAAGTTAGGCGTAAAAATGTAATAAATAAATAGACATGCATGTTGCTTTAACAGATCCTTCGTCCTTCCGCTGGATACGACGTGATCCGTACGTTGGGAGCGCCGCTTAGTTCTCAACCTATAATAGAAATCTCTTCTACAAAACGAAAGGTTGACAGCCATTGGATTAAAGGTATTCTAATCTATACATCATCACACAAATGAATGCCCCAGCGGGACTCGAACCCGCGACCGCTGGCACAACAAGTAGGGCCACTACAAACTGAGCCAAACGTGTCATGGAATAGAAGAAGAATATCAATAGATGTCGTTTATTTATCGATTTGTATAAAATTTTACTTTTTAAAATTTTTAGTATATACGTTTTCATTAACGCCATCTATCGTTTATTTAAGCAAACTAAAATAGAAGAATACCCTTAAAGATAGATTATTAGTTAGAAAATAAATATTGCTTATAAATTCACAGGGTCTCGGAATACGCAACTAAAGATGCAATGGCTTATTGATAGAAGAAAGTGTTGCAATTCTTGAAGGAATAAATACCTTTATTTTATTTATTGCTTTAAATTTGTACAACTAAATGATTCCTAATAAAGACACATGTATAATCCTACACAATATATTTATTAACTAGATACTTTTTATTTTTTTGAGCGGAACCCTAATTCTTTTTCTAAAATAGAAATCTTCCAGTGAAAGTCCCTACAAAATCAGTCCAGCCGTTTCAGAGATTATCCGGAACAGATAGACAGATTTTTTTTAATAAATAGTGCTTTTCTTATAAGTACCGTATATAATTTCATATGCATTTAGTAAAACGCTGTTATTATAACATTTGGTCACATATTCTCTTGCAATATTGTTATATTTATCAGTGCTAAGAAATAGAAGTTTGCTGAAGAATTATGCAAAATATCTAAATCATATTTTTACTAACCGACTTCCAAAAAGGAGGAGGTTCTCAATTCGTCGGAATCTTTATTTTATGTATGTTCACCGATTACTCGAAGACGCCTGAACCACTTTGGATTTTTTTTTGTTTTAAAGGGTATACTTCCCAGGTGGTCCCATATAAATTTTATCGAAATCAGTCGAGCGATTTTTTAAAAAATCAACAATAAATATATTTTTTAAATAAATTGTTTAATCTAATATGTTATTCAAAACTTTCTTCTTACAAATTACCTGCTTATTACGTCTACACTAAAAATGGAAAAATAAAAACTAAAAAAAAATCTAAACCAACTTCTAGGCACTAAAATGTAAAAATAATTAAACAGAGGTTTTCACATAGAATAGCCGACAATATTTTAAGATATCAATATCTAATAAGTAAATATGTGTTTTACGTATCAAATATATTAGGTTTGCTTTGCATCGGCTGGCACCGACTTTGAAAATATCTGATTAGGTATCTATTCTAAATGAAAAGCCCCGTTTAGTTATTTTATACATTTTAGTGCCTGAAAGTCGTTTTTTTTTTTAGTTTTTTTCCCCATATAAAAGTGGTCTGTTATGACCAGACCCACCTATCTATATGTATTTCGACGCGCTGAATCCGATTGACTCATACACCCGCAAAATTTCGAATAAATTGCGAAAAACCAAAAAAAAAATGGAAATATTTGGGAGTGATGAAAATGAGAAAAAAACAAATTAAACACAATTATATTCATTTCTTATATATTTTGATGAACTAAATCCAAGTTTTCTAAACTTAACTACTTAAACTTAACACTTAACTTACTCTGATAATCTTTAAAACTTAACTTACTCTGATAATCTTGATCATTGATAAAAAAGCAGTCATGAGGACTGCCGACAGAAGTGAAAACTTAAAACTATAAACAAACAGTTGTTATTTCTGGATAATCAAACTAATTGTTTGATCTTAAATTAAAATTTTTAAATTAAAACTGTTCACATTTATCTGGTTTTGACATCTATTGGCGCTCTAAGTGTTAGCGGTAGCACGTCACGTGACCATGTCGATGACGACTTACATGAATTTACTTCCCATTCAAGCAAACTTGCCTATAGAAGTTTTTACTTCAATAAATTATAAATTCAAGTTATTTCACCTTCTTGAAAACGTCTACCGTCTACGTGATGACTCGGCCGCCTTGGAACGTGATGGAGTAGCGATAGGGAGAATTTGAAAGCGAGAACTAACAAAAAGACTTTAAAGAGTATGAGTGTGTGTATAATGTTGTAAAATGAATGCTGCTTCTGTTTCTTATATTTTCTATCGTTCTTCAAATTTAACATAAATGGGATCCTTCGGTCTCAGAATTATGTCGGCGATAAAATTAATATCTAAAGGCCTAGTAACAGGCAACAGCCGATATTTACGAAGCGCTGCTGATAACACCAACTTCATTTCCATCATTGCAAACCTTTGACCTGAGAAATAATAATAAAAAAAATTATTTTTATATGTTGGGACATTCACACAGCACCATCTAGTTTTCTTAACGCGAATGGACTGTAGTATCTAACCTATACAATTCCTAGGTCCAGCGCTAAATGGTATATATGCGAAAGGGTGCCAAGTAGGCTCTTCCATGAATCTCTCGGGTTTAAATCGCATTGGTTCAACAAATTGATCACTCCGTCGATGTAAGTCGATGATTAAAATAACACAATCAATCCCAGGCGGACACTTGTAGTTTTCTGAAAGAAATTTTTAATTTACTAATGTAAATGGTTATCCATACTTAATATTATAAATGTGAAAGTGTGTTTGTTTGTCCTTCTTTCACGTCGAAACGGAGAGAGGGATTGGCGTGATTTGTGTGGAGATAGTTGGAGAGCAGGAGAGTGATATAGGCTACTCTTACAGCGGGTTACGGTTATGGCTTTTACAGCGGGAGATATAATACAATCCAAAAAATATTTATGATCAGAATTACTTGAAATTTGGACTTTTGTGTTCAAATCAGTCAAGTAATTTAATATGTATAGGTAATAAAATATACCTTCTTTAATATTATATATACGCTTACTTAAATTAAGTGGATCATCACAGGTCCTTGATATAAAATATACTGGTGGGTAAAGTCTCAGTGATTCTTTGATGCAACATTCTAGATACTTCATCTCTGCAAGATCACTCATGGTAGCAGTCCGTTTAGATGTACCAAAAATGTTTAAGCATTCTTCAAAGGCTTTGTCCTATAACATAAAAATATATTCCTTATTTAAAATCTAAAACATTTTATCTTACAAAATGAGAATTTATATTATAATCTTAAATCTTGCCTAAAGAGAAAGTATTTTTTTGGTAATTTTATATTATTATAATATAATAATAATAAACAAATTAATTATAGAGAATTCAGTCAACAGGAAACTCAGCTAAAGCAGACACCCTTGGTAAAGCAAATTATTCGTTATAATTTTATTCATTTTAAAATAAAAAAAAAACTAAAAATCAAAAAAATGAGTAATTATGCATGATGGATAGAAGTTTTAAATAGAAAATTTTCAAAATAATCGAAGGATACACACAGATTTAAAAACACGATTGAAAACTTAAAATTCGATGAAAACATTTTAAATATTTTTTTTTATGTAAAGGCACTTAATTCAAAATCAAAAATTTTGAAAAAAAAATTGATCTTCGACCATTATTAATAAGAAAGTTATGAGCAAAAAAACAAAAAAGAGCGGTTTTTTAAAAATGCGATATTTTTGAAGCACCGATCAAAAAAATTAAAAAATTTACCAGGAAGCCTCTTTTGAGAGGTACCTACTAAAATACCAAAAAATTAAAAAAATCAAAAATAAAAATTTTTGAAACCGTCCGATTTAGCGTGGAATGCCCCATAAGACGTATGCATAATGAATTTTCATAAAACGTCTAAGATTTACTTCTTATCTTTAATTATGTTACACTGGTTTTTTGAATTTTTTTTATTTAAAGTTTTTTTGTCACAATTTTCGGTAATGGAATTTATAAATTTTTAATTTGTTTTATTTGTGGCCTTTTTTAATTTTAATAGTAAAGTACTCACCTGGGCAACCGAGCTTCTTTAGTTTTTGGCTAAATGTGCAATGTTCTTTTTAATTTGAAAACGTTTGGAAAAAATAATGAGTAAAATGTTTACGATGCGCGCGCACACCGACAGCCAAAAAGCGACATGATGAAGTTAGCTGCATTCCTTTTACAAACAGAGTTGTGACATACGGGATGAAATCTTTAGCTATTTTTGTTCTGTTACGCCAAAGAAGTATAACTTCTTACGTACTTACTTACATACATAAGTACACACACACGTTTTTGATTTAAAAAAAACAGCTTAATTCAATTCACAGGGTAACCAGCAAAGCTAATAGCTTACCATTTTTGGGAACTTGATTTACAACTAATAAAAAGTGCGTGTGTAAGTCACACACGGTAGAAGTGAAACTTCTGAAAAGTAACATATGAGAGAATGAGACGAATATAGAGCTTCACGAGTGGGATAATTATAAGGTTTTTTTTTATTTTTATTTTGCAGCTTTTTCGTGTCAATGCGACCATTTCTGGTCTATTGTGATAGCCGCTTTTTATACTAGAATGAACCACTAAACCCTGCTGATGTTAAAAACAGCAGGATTTTCTTAGGGTTAGGTAAACTCTTTTGTTTCGTCTAGGCTCAAAAATTTGTTTTCCTAGATGAATACTACGTTTCTGCAGGTTCGCGTTTCGTTCAGCCCCAAATTGAACATGTGCTTATTTAAGCAGCATTGTCCAGTAAAGGCCCTTACCAGTATTTGTACTTTTTTTTAACAATCGTTAATTATAAGATTTCATTTTTTTATAAATTTCTTACCAAAATAACTATTTTGAATTTTATTTAACATAAATATCTATACATTACATATTGTTCAGTATTAATTTTATTATTTTTCACTTCCTGTGTAATGACAATAACAACGGTTACCATGGCAACATGACATTGTATTCTATCTCATTCTCTCACCGGCTTAATCCTATATATTTATGTGTTTGTCTCTTTTCAGTGTCGTATTTCCGTTTCATCGAGTTTGAAATCACAACGATTCTAAAGAAGTTTCATTTAAATAATTTTTAAAATATATATAGAGCTTGTCACCTGTACTTCCGGGTGGTTAGCCAGTAACATGAAAGTGAACAGAAGAGCTGCTGACGTTGTATCATTTCCCTAAAACATAAATGGTATTAAGTATATAAATATTTCTAATAAGAATGTGATTTTTTATGGTCTTTTAGTATGGTTGCATTGACCATTTATCTGTTACGATAAAACTTTAGTGATCATGTTTATATTTTCATATTATAAAAGAAATCTATCCCACGGGAACCGTACATATTCCGGGATAAAAAGTAGCCTATTTATTATTCTGATATATGAGCTATATTATTGTAAAGTTTCATTAAAATCCAATCAGTATTTTTTGTGTACTAAGCTTTATAAGTTTCTATAGTTTTTTAACTATCCCACGGGAACTATTTGATTTTCCGGGATGAAAAATATCTAAGATGTTAACCGGCAATATAAGGTACCACCATGCAAAATTTAATTTTAATCGGTCTAACATTTTCCGTACAAACAGATAAACAGACGGAAAAAAAAATATGGGAAAAATCTGGATTTGTTTTATTTCTCCTTACATCTCCATGACTCGGTTTTTAGCATATTTTTCTTATGTACAGACATTCGACCTCTACAGTTTTATTATATGTAGTTAATAAAGTAACTTATTATTGTTATTACTTTTTCATATGCGATGATTTAGTTTTATTTAGTTTTAATAAATTTAATTATAATATTGATAAATAAAGTCAATTAATAGCATTTGGAAATTGAAAATCTTATTGAAATAAACATTATTATCGATACAGAGGCCGAATCTACAGTTTTTAGAATTTTTGTCTTTCTGTTTGTCTGTTACCGCATCACAAAAAAACCGCTGGAGGGATTTTGATGAAATTTGGTATGGTGATAGCTGGTTATCCGGCTCAACATATAGGATTTTTACCGCGGGGAAATATCTCATTTCTGAGAAAAAATGCAAAAACTGCAATGTAAGAGTAAACTAATATGTAAAACCTAAGAATTTGATTTTAGTCACCTAAACGCGAGCGGAGCCGCGGGCAATGCTAGTCATATATAATAATAAATATTTAATTGTTTCTATGTGGCTTTTATCGTCTTTGATGAGATCCTATTGGAGTTTTTCAATAGGGTTAGAAATAAATAGTACATACCTCAAACATAAATGTATCGACTTCCTCGTTAATTCCTGCCGTGTCTATTTTTCCCTGCTCCTCAATATCTAATAATAAATCTAACATTGCCAACCGTTTCTTTTTAATGCTATAAAAATTTTCTTCCGAATCGTTCATTACTTCTACGTATAAATTCTTGTAATTGCCGTCATCTCGACGTTGTTTAATTACACAGTCCCGAAATTTTCCTATTAAATTTAATAAATCCTTTTGTTTTCGACCAATTGAGCTTAAATTAAAAAGAAAATCTATATGGAACCAAACTCGTTGTCCTCTGTAAATTAAATAGGTTCCCAGTGTGTGTATTGCGTCTTTATAATGTGTGCCTATACCTGACGTCTCTTCATCCAGTTGTGTTCCCATTGCTGTTTCTGTAATCACATACAATACTGTTAAGTTTTTGTATGAAATACTGTAATCTATACTTGTGTTTGTTTATTTGTTTGTTTGTTTGTTTGTCCTTCTTTCACGTCGAAACGGATCGACGGATTGGCGTGTTCTTTTGTGTGGAGATAGTTGGAGGGCTGGAGAGTGACATAGGCTACTTTTTATCGCGGGAGATTATTCCATTCCCATAGGGAAACAAGTAATATAATCCAAAAAAATATTTGTGATCAGAATTACTTAAAACTTGGGATTAATGCTCTTCAATAAAATTAAATAAACACGTATTTTAGAATTTTTTGAAATTCATCCTGTAAGGGGGTAAAATAGGGGATGAATGTTTGTATGTAACAAGCTTTTTAGAGATTTTTTTGTAGTTTTAGGGCGAGCGAAGCCGCAGGTTCTACTAGTATTATATACATACATTTAAAATATTTAACTCACCACATATTGAGCTTAAAGTCATATTTGCTATGAATGGATAAATATCAGTTTTTTGTTTGCCTACTTCAGATTCGAGGCTTTTAACAAATTTTTCAGTATTTTCAATGAAAACGGTACTGAAGTGGCGAAGGATGTTGAAATGAAATGCAGGGGTGAGAATTTTTCTTCGTTCATACCATTTTTTACCTGCAAGGTTTGTGTTAAAATAAATTAATGTTTTGTAACTAATACACAGTACCTGGGCTAGCGAGCTTCGCTCGGAGTTTTTGGCCTGAAGTACAATTTTCTTCTTTTTTTTAAATTAAAAACTTGGATAAATATAAAAAAAAAAAACAAAAGTTAAAACTTTGAATGCGACCGAGATTCGTACCTGGACACCTGTGATTGTTAATCTTGCACCTTGACCGATTGACCACGATGTTTATGCCCGAGCGTGCAAATTACCGACCATATTTTGCGTGGAATAATGCAAAAGAAAACTGCATGAAAACTGGAAAACACGCGTTTTCTCAGACATAAGACTAATCTAGATCGATTTATCGCCCCCGAAACCCCATGTGTACTAAATTTTATGAAAGTCGTTGGAGCCGTATCGTTGTAATCTTTGGAAACTAAATATATATACATATATATTTTACTTTTGTTTATTTTTAATATTTATTCAAGTTTTTTTGTTCTATTAAATAAAACTATCTTTTCGGATTATTTCGCGGATTTATTTTGATTTTTGTTTCCCGACGTTTCGAATGCTTTACAGCATCCATGGTCACGGGAGAGACTGAGGTGTTACATGTCTTAAAGATATAGTTGTTACAGACAGCCTACCCACAATTAACAAAATGAAAATTGCACCAATTATATTACAATATTTTTTAACTTTAAACATTTTTATAATTTTAATTATAATTGAATATGGAAAATTATTTATTTAATTTTTCTCTCTCCCGTGACCATGGATGCTGTAAAGCATTCGAAACGTCGGGAAACAAAAATCAAAATAAATCCGCGAAATAATCCGAAAAGATAGTTTTATTTTTTTGTTCTTTTTTAAATAATAAGAAAATTGTACTTTGGGCCAAAAACTCCGAGAGAAGCTCGGTAGCCCAGGTACTGCTATGAAAAAAAAATTATGAATAAATAAATGTTAACAAAATGTAATTATTTTACCGCTACTTAGCAGGAGACCATCATTTAACCAAGGGCGAAGAAATTTGTAGAGATAGCCTTTTTTATTATACTTTGCATTGGTAAGAACAGTCTGTAAAACATAACGTAATCTATACTTACATATAAGAAAATTGTAACTGAGCCGAATGTGTACAAGAAATATTTTTTTGGAAATATTATTGAACTAGACTTATATTATCGATACAGAGGCCGAATCTATAGTTTTTAGAATTTTTGTCTGTCTGTCTGTTACCGCGACACGGAATAACCACTGGACAGATTTTGATGAAATTTGGTATGATGATAGCAGGTTATTCGGGTCAACATATAGGATACTTTTTAGTGCGGGAAAATATCTCATTTCTGAAAAATCTAGATACTAAACGTTAAAACGTAAGTGAGTGGTGAGTCGCTAGTAATTTATACAAAGTTCTATCAGCAGCAAGCAAGATTCTATATTGTAGGTATTATATTGTGCAAGATTTTATTAGCTTTTAAAAATTATGTTTAATCACATTTGACCTACGTAAACGACCTTATATGTTAAGCATAAAATTCGATAGTTCCTTATCTATACCACGGTAATGTAATGCATATATTACCGTGTCTATACAGTTAATAAAATTGAAGTGTCTGTTTGTAATGTCAAAATAACAGCTTTATACTAAATGCGTATGAAATTTTAAACGGTAGGTACTTTTAAGAAAAACACAATTTTTAATTTTTTTGTCTGTCGGTTTGTTCCAGCAAATCTCCGAAACGGCTGGATTGATTTTGACGGGACTTTCACTGGCAGCTGATGTTATACGGAGTGAACTTAGGCTACTTTTATTTTAGAAAAATAATTAGGGTTCCGCTTAAAAAAATTAAAATATACCTACGGACGCAACCGAGCGAACTAAGGGTAAGCTAGTATGAAATATGTTGTTAAATGAAATTAAAAACCGATAAAATTATATTAAGTACTAGCATTGCCCGCGGCTCCGCCCGCGTTCAGATGACCAAAAACCAAATTCTTAGGTTTTACATATTAGTATAGTAGGTACTCTTACATTGCAGTTTTTGTATTTTTTCTCAGAAATGAGATATTTTCCCGCGGTAAAAAGTATCCTATATGTTGACCCGGATAACCAGCTATCACCATACCAAATTTCATCAAAATCCCTCCAGTGGTTTTTCCGTGATGCGGTAATTCAGACAGACAAACAGACAGACAAAAAATCTAAAACTTATAGATTCTATTCGATAATGATGTTTATTTCAATAAGATTTCTCAAAAAATATTTAAGTTCTGATTCCGCTTAATTTCAATTTTATTATATGTATAGATAAAAAGCTTAAGTTTCATTTGTTAAAACTACGAGAAGTTCTTAAAATTTCTAAGTTTATTTATTCGTCTTATTATAGGTAAAGAATTATAAAATTTTACCTCTACATCCTCTGGGTTGAGTATAAGTACGGCTTTCATTGCACCAAGTTTAAGTCTATATATATCCTTAAATGTTTTAGGCAATTCACGAAAATATTTAAATAACGCCACTGCAAAAAACATGGATCAATATTTCTATAACATCCCTAATTATATTAAGTAAATAATAGTGATAGTAAAATTACAATATAACATATGAAACAATCTTACCAGACTCCATAAAATAATCAAAAGCATTTCCAAAGAACAATATTCCTTTGGGTCCAGGAATTTTATTGAATTCATCATCTATAAACAGACGTTTATAAAGAAAATAAAGCAAAAAGACTATTCCCACAAATAACACAAAAACCCCAAACATCTTGTTTTAGTAAGAACAAATTCTATATAACATTAACAAAGATATTTTATTTTCTATAAATTGATAAAACTGCTTTGAAAATATCTTAACACTGTTCAAGATGTTAATTTATTGATAAAGATTTTAACCAACTAAGTTTATCTACATATTCCACGACTTTAACGACACACTGTGATAAAGTACCAGATATGTTTACAAATAGACCATCTATCTATACATATAATAAAATTGTAACAAAGCCGAATCTGTACATTAGATATTTTTTGGACAATCTTATTGAAATAAACATTATTATCGATACAGAGGCCGAATCTATAGTTTTTAGAATTTTTGTCTGTCTGTCTGTCTGTCTGTTACCGCATCACGGAAAAACCACTGGACAGATTTTGATGAAATTTGGTATGGTGATAGTAGGTTATCCGGGTCCACATATAGGATACTTTTTACCGCGGGAAAATGTCTCATTTCTGAGAAAAATACAAAAACTGCAATGTAAGAGTATACTAATATGTAAAACCTAAGAATTTGGTTTTTGGTCATCTGAACGCGGGCGGCGCCGCGGGCAATGCTAGTACTATTATAAAACTGTAGAGGTCTAATGCCTGTACATAGAAAAAAAATGCTAATTATAAAATAAAAATTTGAAAAACCACTACGCAAATTAATTGTCATTTAACGATTACACTGGCACGCGTGAAGCACTTAATCGAGTAATCATACGCCAAAATGCCTTACATCATTTTGGAAAAGGGCTGACTCTTACACTGCTGGACCGATATAACCGCATCGAAATTGGTCCATCCGTTTGAGAGCTACGATGCCACAGACAGACACATACACACACAGACAGACATCGACGTCAAACTTACAACACCCCTCTTTTTGCGTCGGGGGTTAAAAACCGAGTCAATTTTTTTGTTTCTCTGTCTGTGGAAACTGTTGGACCGATTTAAATGAAAATTTACATGGCGGTACCTTATATCTCCGGTCAACGTTCAAGAACTTTTCATCCCGGAAAATTAAAGTTCCCGTGGAATAGTCAAAAACTATAGTAACTTTTACAGCTTAGTACACAAAAACTACTGATTGGATTTTAATGAAACTTTACAATAATATAATAGGTTACTTTTTATCCCGGAAAAAATGTACGGTTCCCGTGGGATAATTTGTTTTTGTTTTGTCTAGAGGCGAGCCCGAGCGAAGCGAGGTGAGCCGCTAGTCTATGTATAAAGACTGCTTTAATGCTCTACTCAACCACATTACGTAAAATAATTAATATTCATTTAAGATTTATTATTTTAGACAAAAATCTGTACTCCGCTCACTAATAACACCGAATTGCAACTACTTAAAAATATACTGGTTCTTATCTCAATAAATGTATTTAATATTTTTTATTTATAGTCTACTACCACAGATCTAATAATAGTATACTCTACTAATAAAGAATTAAAACCAGTCTGTTACCTTATTCTGTAGATTGGCGTATCTAAGTAATGGTATCAAAAATAATATATCACTAGCGACTCAACCTCGCTTCGCTCGGGTTCGTCCCTAGGTTGATTCCCCAAACAAAATTTCATCCCCATTTTCACCCCCGATGATTCCCGGGATAAAAGTATCCTATATCCTTCCCAGGGTCTCAAACTATCTTCTTACCGAATTTCACCTAAATCGGTTCAGTAGATCTAGAGATACAACGTCACAAACTTTACCTCTCTATAATATTCAATAGACTAGCAGAACCCGGGCTCCTCTCCCGCTAAAACTACAAAAAATACTCTAAAAAAGTAGTTTCATACAAACTTTCATCCACATTTTGCCCCCATATAGGATGAATTTCGAAAAATTCTAAAACACCTATTTATTTCATTTTATTGAAAAGCATTAATACCAAGTTTCAAGTAATACTGATTTTAATATTTATTTGGATTGCATTATAACGTGTTTTCCCGTGGCAATTACATAATATCCCGCGGTAAAAAGTAGCCTATGTCACGCTCCAGCCCTCCCAACTACACACAAAAAATCACGCCAATATGCCACTATTTTGACGTAAAAGAAGGACAAACAAACAAATATATTTTCACATAATATTAAGTATGGATATGTATTTATTTTGTTCATCCGTAAAGAGGTATAAGGAAAAGAGCAAATAATAAATTTACTCAGTCCCTTTGTGTACCTAAATTAGGCAAAATCTCCATACTATTTACAACATCCTGTTCACTTACAGATAGATGAACTATCCCCATGAAGTAGTAATATAGTGATATTAGAACACAAAGTCAAACTTATAAAAATTGGTAATTATTAAGTTAAAATTCTTCATGTAAAAAAATCGTTTTTTTTTTTGAAGTTATACTTCTTTTGGAACGATTGGAAAAATTGTGAGAGTAAAATTTTTTCAATTCAAAAATCGACATGATGAAGTTAGCTGCATTCCTTTTACAACCATATTTTTGTTCTGTTACGCTAAAGACGTTTATCTTCTTACACACACACGTTTTTTTATCTGAAGGCTTTAATGTATGGTTTATTGAGACACTGATTTTTGATTTATCTCTATTTAATTTATTCCTGTTGACAAAACCTCTTTTGGATAAGACCTTTTTATTACTTACCTAAAAATATTTTTTTTAACACTCAAAATTTTCGATACCAGGCAGAGAATATATTTAGAATAAAAAAAACAAACAAGAAATCAGTCTTTATTATACAATATATACTGCGAGTGACAGACAACTTTCAACACCATGAACATGCAGAGCACAGGTTTACACAAATTTTATTTCATTTCTGGAAATGAAGAAAAAATCAAATTCATAAACGACACGAGAGAATATTTAAATTATAAATTCAATGACATTAATTTTAGACAAATTTAAAAAATAAAACACTTCTAAGAATGTTACGTTGATAAATACTTTAAGGCCGGCCACATATTAAAAGATTTTTTCTGTCAGAAAATATCTGACACCCGCCGGAAAAGCAAAAGCACTCTCCTCATATTTTTTGATCTAGACTCCGTATACTATCAGAATTCTGACGAGTCTGACGTCCGCTTCTGATGAGTCTCGGATGCTGCCGATCGGACGTCAGAATTTTTTCTGATCAGAACACCGGAGGGCACGGTCTCTACTTTTACGCGCTGCTAGTTTATTCAGACTTGATGTCTTTGAATAAACTAGCGCTTTCACACAACCTCTGTGGCGTTCGTCTACACAGGTGCCAGGCAGGCAGAAAAAGTATGACGACGAATATATGGATTGACGTTTGGGCGGGACGTATGATTTTGCTGTTGTGTAACTTTTATTGTAATTAGCCCTTTTTAACGTCCCACTGCTGGGCACGAGCCTCCCTTCAATACGAGGGGATCAGGCCATAGTCCACCACGCTGGACAAGTGCGGGCGGACTGAGCATGTCTTTCGAAAACTTACTAGGTTCTCTCAGACATGTAGGTTTCCTCACGATATTTTTCCTTCACCGTAAGGCAAATGGTAATCATGTTAGAAATGATTCGATATTTTTATTAATTACTGTCAATATAACGATTATAACGGGAAAAGTGTTTCATTCATTTACAATACATTTTTTACTAGACTCCGGACACTTCGCATTAGCTGTCAAGAAGACGCCGGGAACTAAACTCATTGTCAGACTCGCTGGAGCCAAGTTTCTGATAGCTGTGATACCAGTGGGCGTCAGATATTTTCTGACAAGAAAAATCTTATACGGCCGGCCTAAGGTGGCTTTAACATTAATAACGTCCAAACTAAAAATCTGTCAAACTGATTTTTTAGCATTTTAGTTACGAAAAGAAAAACTATGCAACAATTTATTTTTAATTATATAATACTTTACTCAGATTTACGCGAATATTTGACGTTTTGAATAAAACTATATTTTCGGATTTATATGGGTATTCATTTTAATTTTAAAATGTTTAGAATTAAAATCAACAAATATTGTAAGGTGCTTTGGTGTCATTTTTAAATATTTTGAACTCATTTTATAAAATTATGAGTCGTCGATACGTTTACATATGTTTGAGACGTCTATAACCTTAGTCTCTCTCGTAACCATGATTGCTGTAAAGCATTCGAAACGTCGGGAACCAAAAATCCAAATACATCCGCGAAATAATCCGAAAAGATAGTTTTATTTAATTTTATCACTTCTTTTTTTCAAACTATTATTGCGACCTGAAGTTCGTTCTACCCACAATGTAAGCTCATATAAACGAGGACTCATATGGATTTAGACATGAAAAAATTATCACATACCCTAAAACTATTAAAAGATAGTCAAAATTGAAAACTAACACCTTATAATATAGAAACACATTTACATTTAAACGATTTAAAAATATTTTATTCAATTTTTAAAACACCAAAACCCCAGATCGTCGTCTCTCGTCTTATTCTTCAAGTACCGAAACAGTCTCCTGCAACAGATAATATATATATATATATATATATATATATATATATATATATATATATATATATATATATTAAATAATACTTTCTTAGATTTATGCGAATATTTAACATTTTAAATAAAACTATCTATTCGGATTATTTCGCGGATTTATATTGATTTTTGGTTCCCTAACCAAATAAAATAAATTCAAAAATAAATCCGCGAAATAATGCGAACAGATAGTTTTATTTAAAATATTAAATAATTTAAAATACATAATATAAAACATATAATTATGTATATATTTTATCTATTGTATTTAACGTCCCACTGTTGGGGGTCGGCCTTCCTTCAATACGAGCGGAATCAGACCAGTGTACGAAATATTATTATATTCCAAATCAAAAATCAATAAATTTATAATTTAGAATATCAAATCATGTATGTATTCAGCTCATTTTAACTTCCCACTGCTAAGCACGTGCCTCTCTTCAATGCTAGGGGTGAAGTGACGAAAATATCAGAGGTGCAGGACTCGGGATTTGAACCCGCTTCACTCGGTTTCCCAAGCGAGCGCGTCACCATTGAGCTACCACTGCATGAATCATGTATTAAAATATAAAGATAATAATTGAGAAAATCAACTAATCGCGTAAATTTAAGAAAGGATTGTATTTTATAAAACTTTAGATCAACTCAGCCATTACAGGCAATATCTTGAAATCGAGCTCAGCACTCGATCCCACAGTCAGTATCCGCCCCAATCATACTCACCATATGGTGGTGGGCGCGTGTCCCCAGTCGTGGCGGACGCCGTCCAGCAGCCGCTGCAGGTCGCGCGGCGCGGGCGCGGGCGCGGGCAGCGCGGGCAGCACGCGCACGCGCGCGGCGCGCGGCCACGCGCTCTGCGCCGCGTCGCCCACCACCAGCTCCACGCGCAGGCGCACCTCCCACACAGCGCGCAGGCGCGTGTTCGCCACCTGCCACCACGCGTAACACGTTATATAAATGTAGGATCCGGGGATACTAATAAAAGCGTTTATAACACTACTAGCAGAACCCGCGGCTTCGCTCGCGCTAAAACTACAAAAAATATCTCCAAAAAATTTAGTTTCATACACACTTTCATCCCATATTTTACCCCTGCAGGGTTAAGCAATTTATGTAAGCTTAATATGCATATTTCATTTTAATGTTTTGTAACGGCTAGTATATATTGTGTATTACGAGACAGTCGCTCATAGTCGCTCATAGTCGCTCGATAGCCGTGGTATTAAATAGACAATAAATATAAATTATAATAATTGGACTTCAATATCTTTTATGGCCCGTACAAACATAGTTCCTTAACCCCCTTATAGGATGAATTTTGAGAAATGCTAATGGCCGATTTCACCAACGTCACCTAAGTTTAAGGGATCATCTAAACATGGTTAGGGGGCTGTTAGGGGTCCTGCGGCGTCCCATTAAGGCGGAGGGGAGGGGAATGTCGGGCATTAGTGGGTAGTACCGGCTCTTCTAGCCGGTGAGCCCCACGTCACCACCTGGGGGATCAGGTGGTATGCGTAAATGCATTTCCCGACATTAAAAAAAAATAAAAATAAAAGGGGGGGCTGTTAGGGGACAATTTCGGTTTCACCAACAGTTAGGGGTCACCTAAATATTATAAGGCCCCCTAAATTTAGGGGCTAGTTTAGGGGTCTTTTAAGCTAGGGATCCCATACGTAGGTGGTAGATTATGGGTTGTTGGTGAAATCAGGCATAAGACACGTATTTATTTAATTTTATTGAAAAGCATATATACCAAGTTTCAAGTAATTCTGATAGTAAATATCTTTTTATATTGTATTATAACGTGTTTTCCCGTGGGAATTAAGTAATCTGCCGCGATAAAAAGCATCCTATGTCACTCTCCAGCCCTCCAACTACCTCCAAACAAAAAATCAGACCTATTCGTTAGTCCGTTTAGACGTGAAAGTAGAACAAACATACAAATAAACAAACACACTTTCACATTTATAATATTAGTATGGATACTGTGTTCACCGAATGAAAGAAGCACTGAGATTTTGCGCTTCCACGTGATTAGTTGCAGATAAGACACTTAGGCCGCGGTTACAAGCAAGTCATAATAGTACCGTTCAGACGTCTCTCGTGTTATAACCTGTTTTATTATCAATGTAGGAGATGACTGTAATACGTCGGAAAGTGAAAATTAATAAATAATGTATACAAATATTTAAAAATACTATTATTTTTACTTTAATGTTTATTTTATTACAAAATTATTAATAATTCCTCACTATAGCATTAGCAACATGAACGAGCCCTACGACTTCAAACCAGTTGCAAGCGATAGTGGGCGGAGCTAGACAGTTTTCTGTCCTTATCAGTTTGTATACTAATGTGGGACAGAGAAAGCGCTTTGCATGGTTCACTCCATGAACAGAGTATAGTAGCTATTTATTCTTTTAAAATTATATAACACAATGTTCACACGATTCGTCGTGTTATCTATACATATAATAAAATTGTAATTGTGAAAGCCGAATCTGTACATTAGATATCTTTTGGAAAATCGAATAAACATTATTATCTATACAAGACCGTACCTGTAGTTATTACAATTTTTGTCTTTCTGTCTGTCTGTCTGTTACCGCATCACAGAAAAACCACTGGAGGGATTTTAATGAAATTTGGTATGGTGATAGCTGATTATTCGTGTCAAATACAAAAACTGCACTATAAGAGTATACTAATGTACTAACACTAAACTACTGTAAAACCTAAGAATTCGGTTCTTAGTCATCTGAACGCGAGCGGGAGCCGCGGGCAATGCTAGTTATGACATATAATCCTTCTTTTCGTTTATTCCTCTTTCATTCCATCCCATTCTTAAAATTAAATCATACATCTCCTTTTATTCTTAAAATATCATGTCACGCATACTATCTACTAATTTAAATTTTTGGTTAATAAAATAAAAGTTTAAATTAATTATTCATTTTAAAAATCAGTGGGCCACTTCAAAAAGTTGAGTATAATTTTTTTTATTTCAATTAATTCAATTATTTTTCGCTCCACCCTAAAACCCATCCCCAAAAAACCTCCCATCCTACTCCCACTTACTTTAAAGGTCAAATCCCCGTCCCCAGTGAGGTGGTACGCGAGCCGCAGCCTCGCGTCACGCATCACGCGCGCCCACAGCAGCGCCAGCCGCGCCGTCTCCGCGCAGCGCCGCAGCAGCGCCGGCACCGCGCCCGCGCCCGCGCCCACGCACCCGCACTGCGCGCACTCGTAGCGCATCGCCTCCGCCGCGAGACGGACGCAGAGTGACGACGATGGCTCTTTCTCTTCTACAAATGATATTAATACACATTTTTTTATATTTATTACTACCATAGCGACTCACCCTCGCTTGCTTCCCCATACAAACTTTCACCCCCCTTAAGGGATGATTTCTGGGATAAAAACTATCACATGTCTCTCCCAGGGTCACAAACTATGTTCTTACCTAAGTTCATCTAAATCGGTTCAGTAGTTTCGCAGCTTATTCGGTACAAACAAACAAACAAATCTTTTCTGTTTATATGAGTGTAGAATTAGATAGTGGACTACATAACACTAATATTCATACTAAAGTGTTGATAATGTAATCAGTGTAATAGTGTGACTATTTATTTATTTATTTATTTTTATTAGGACAACCAACAAAAGTTACACTAATTCAGTGTTTATTACATTTAAAAAATTAGAGATAAATGCATTTTTTTTAACCGACTTTCAAAGAGGAGGAGGTTCTCGGAATCTTTTTTTATGTATGTTCACCGATTACTCGAAGAAGCCTGAACCGATTTGGAAATTATTATTTTTTTTTTTGTTTCAAAGGGTATACTTCCCAGGTGGTCCCATATAAATTTTATCGAAATCGATCGAGCGGTTTTTAAAAAAATCAACAATAAATATATTTTTTAAATAAATTGTTTAATCTAATATGTTATTAAAAACTTTCTTCTTGCAAATTACCTGCTTATTACGTCTACACTAAAAATGGAAAAATAAAAACTTAAAAAAACCGACTTCCCGGCACTAAAATGTAAAATATAACTAAACGGAGGTTTTCATATACAGGGTCATTTTTAATTCACTGAAAACCTTTTGGGAATATACTATTTACATCATAACAACAACATCTGTAACAAGAAAAAATAATATTTCTTAAATTTTTATTTTCATACATAAATAAAAATATTTTTATTGCACCTTCTAAACGGTAAAGTTCTAGGCATCTGGCCAAGTTTAAATGAGTAAGGGCCACTTCCTACACCCCTCAACCCCTTCACCTCCACCGGTCACGCGCTTTCTTTTGCTAATGCTGGATTATTACCGTTTAGAAGGAGCAATAAAAATATTTTTATTTTTGTAAAATTTAAGAAATATTATTATTTTTTCTTATAGATGTTGTTGTTATGATGTATACAGTATATTCCCAAAAGTTTTTCAGTAAATTAAAAATGACCCTGTAGAATAGATAAATCAGATATTTTCGAAGTCATGCAATGAAATAATATAAACAAAACATCATTATGAAAAAAAATTAACAAAAGTAAGTAACAAAACCGTGTACTGTACGTACGCACGTAAGACGTTATAGTTCTTTGGCGTAAGAGAACAAAAATAGCTAAAGATTTCATCCCGTATGTCGCAACTCTCTGTTTGTAAAAGGAATGCAGCTAACTTCATCATGTCGGTTTTTGGCTGTCGGCTTGCGTGCGATTCGTAAAAATTTTACTCTCATAATTTTTCCAAACATGCCAAAAGAAAATAAAAAATAGAAGATTGTAATTTAATTCATAAGATCTTTGTTTAATAAGAATAATAAATAGTCCAGTCAAGGCTTGAAATCAAAATTTTGACACGCATTTTTGATATAATGTAGTTTTAATGATACATCTAAACTTTTTTATGTAACTACGCGGGCGCGTTCAGATGATTAAAAACCAAATTCTTAGGTTTTACATATTAGTATACTCTTACATTGTAGTTTTTGTATTTTTTCTCAGAAATGAGACATTTTCTCGCGGTAAAAAGTATCCTATATGTTGACCCGGATAACCAGCTATCACCAATTTTCATCAAAATCCCTCCAGTAGTTTTACTGTGATGCGGTAACAGACAGACAGACAGACACAAAAATTCTAAAAACTAAAGATTCCGCCTCTGTATAATAATGATGTAGATATATATATGTAGTATATATATATATATGTAGATAATAATGACTAATTCAATAAGATTTTCCAAAAAATATTTAATGTACAGATTCGACTTAGAATTTTATTATATGTATATATTTTAAGTTCTACACATTTTTATTAAAACTTTTTTTGTCTAATTTTTACAGTTTTCGAGTAATTACAAAAAACACATTAGACATTTTTTTTCTGCCCTTGTCAGGGGTTGCAGACACGAAAACCTTTACACGTTGATTTTTGTATCATTAAAACTATATTATATCAAAAACCAACATTTTGATTTCAGACCTTATTTGACTGGACTTAAAAGTTCAATTCTAATTAATTGTGAAATACCAGTGACAAATGGTCAATATAACTCACTGTCGTGCACGGCAGTGACGTCCAAGGCCACGAGGGGCGTGTCGGGACGCACGCGGCGCGGCGGCCGCGAGAGGCGCACCGTGAGCCGCAGCCGCGACCGGAGCAGGAGGAACGTCCACACATCATCGTCACGTGTCTCCCACTCACAGTTGCGACCCCTTGGAATTTAATTATTTTATTGGGATTTGTTTAAAATATATGTATATATATGTTGACATTAACACACAGCACCATCTAGTTTCATGGTAAGCTACGAGGCTTGCGTTATGGATACCAGATAGTTGATACACTACACATATATAACTTTAGTTACATCCATACATAGTATAAATATAAACATCCATGACTGAAGTACAAACATTCGTGCTCATCACACAAATGAATGCACCCAGCGGGACTCGAACCCGCGACCGCTGGCACAGCAAGTATGGTCACTACAAACTGAGCCAAACGTGTCGTCGAATTTGTAGATGTTTATAAGCAACGTTTTGTTGTTCTAATCATCTTATTGATTTGATACTTTGTTATATCAATGTGGTAAGCAAGATGATAATATTATAATGAGTGACAGCAGGAATAGAACGTCTAGACTCGCTAACCAGACTCCTTAGATTTATGTTATTATTTTTTTATAATACCCTCCTAGATTTACGCTAATATTTGACATTTGAGATTTCCGTTTGTTTCCCGTGATCACGTTTGCTGTAAAATATGCGAAATGTCAGGAACCAAAAGTGAAACTAAAACAGAGAAAAAACCCGCTAGGGTTGTTTTGTTACTCTTTTAATCGACTTTGTATAGAAAGTTTTCGTTCGTGTAAATCTTAGAAAGTATTATAAAATGTTAAAATAATATTAATAGTTTAAAAACATAAAAAATAAAAAGCTGTGACGTAGCAAACTCGTCTAAACGTATTAAACGAGCCCAAACTCGAAGTTGTTACTAGCAGCCATTGAAGAGTTACACTATCCGTCTTCTGGATCCATCATCAGAAAACTTAAATGATATTAAATTATTATATTGCCACCCTGCTTACAGTTTCTAAATAAATTAAGCAAACACGCTTGCTTAAACTAGTAAATAAAATTCTTACCCCATAAACGGCAGCATTTCAATCATCGTAACAACGTTCACAGCGGAACTGAAATCCGTCAGGGTTTTGGAACTCTCCTCATCAGATTTCTGATCAAAGTCACTGTTCTCTGACAGGACTTTGCAAACAGCCTTTTTACTGCTCGTAAAAGTAGTTTCTGATTTCATACTTTCAAAAGTATTAGAAACTGTTTCAACAGCCAAAGACTCGTGTGTACTATTTTTGTAGGATTCAAGGTATTTTCTGTCAATATTTCGATCAGCACTCGCATCTTTATAACAGTCTACGATCACTTGTTGAACAGTTAGGTCTTGCTTCATGCTATTTCTCTTTTTAGGCGATTTCTTCTTATCTGGGCTACTATTATTTTTATCTGGAGATTCCATTTTATTATCTTTTATATCTGGAGATTTTGTTTTAGATTCTGGTACTTTTGGACTTAGCGATACTTTCTGCATCTTGCTCACTGGCTTTGGCGTGACGTCAACGGGTTGAACCATTTTTTTGTCCTGCTTCGTTGGACTGTAGCTCCGTTTCCTACTATTCGAGTTCATCTCAGATTCATCATTTGAGGTAACATCGAAGTCCTTTTGCACATCTTCTTCCACTTTATATATGATTTTGACCGAAGACTTTTGACCTGCACAGTCTTCAAAATCTTGCATATCTATGTCTAGAGGCTGACCGAGAGCATCATCAACGAGGGTTAGAGAAGAATTAGTCTCTAAAATTTCTTTATTATCTTTCATCGCAATTAACGTATTGATTTCTGTATCTTTATGTTCGGTCGCCATGCCTTCTGTGGAGCGATCGATTGACAGAGGCTTACTTATATTTGATTCTTTACTGTTAGACTCATTAATTTTTTCCACGCCATCTCCTACATGCACTTCAGGTTTTTGTTGGCTCATTCGCTTCTCTGTTTGATGATGTGTAGACACTCTCTCAATTTCATTTTGATTTTCCTTCTTTTTGTCATTCTGAACTTTATCATCTTCCTTAGAATCGTCCATCTTTATTGGGTTATAGCCGTGTACTTTAGAACAATCTGTTTGTGTTATTAGAATATTATTTAAAGGATTGAGATGGTCGAAGACAATGACTGGACTAGGTCTAGCTGTAGGAGACTGCAGCAGTATTGAAACTGGACTCTTATTAATTTCTGAAACAGGTTTTTGTTCTACTTCCATCGATATATCCATCGGTTTTATTGACTGTCTTAAAGCTTGCGTAATAGCTCCTTTAGCTAAATCTGCTACCTCTGCTTCTATAGATTTCTTCGGTGTACTATTTTCAATCGATTCAGGGTTGGAATGAAGTTCAGCACCGATATCTATCTGACTTGATGTTACAATATTTGCTTGTATCTGTGTACTGCATGTTGAGGGTGGTTTTTTAATTAGGCTTTCCCCCTCGAACGGTATGTCCGCTGTGGGTTTAACTAAATCATTCATTAGAGCTTTGATGCCATCAGAAACGTCTTTTAGATAAGTCGGTATTACTTTCGCCTTGTCGTCTTTCATGTAAGTAATTTCACCGACAGTAGTTTTCTTTAGCGGTGTAGTTTTCATATCCGTTCCCATACTAGCTTCACTAATCGACTCATCATCTTCAAAATTCAAGGTTTTGACCACTTCTGTGCTCATACGAACAGTTTTGTTCGGATATTTTTCAATTTCTTCTGGTGACTCGTGAGTGTCTTCTATATTATCGCTATCGTTGTAAGATCGGGACATTTGTAAAGCAGCTTGAGCCATGGATATGTTATTGAATAGTTCTTCTCTACATAGCGCTATAGATTGCCTCTTTGGCAGAAAGCTCAAACGTCTTGGTTCGGGGCTCGACACTTGACTTCTCACGTTCGCTGCTACTGACTTTTCACCACGTTCTTCTGTGGCCCCGTCTGTGAAATCAGAGAGCATTTCTAATAAATCTTTAGTATCGTCTGCGTCTCTTATGAATTTTATATCTCTTAAGACACTTCGGTTCATTTTGAGGTCTGATTTATCTAATATTTTACCCTTTTTTATATCTGAGCTTAGCATTTTTTCATAGTGTCTATTTGATTTTGGAAACTCTTCATTAACAATAACTGGCTCATCTAATTCATTTTGCAATTCGTGTTTTTCATCTTCATCTGAATAATGAGTATATTTTTGCGTAACTTCAATAATTTCAGTATTATTTGGTATTTTTTCTTCATTTTCAATATCTTCTTTTTTCATATCGTTCTCGCTATCTCTAGTAATAAAGAATAGGCTATTACTAGATTCATTTTCATTTGGTTTCACGTCTTCTATTGTCATTTTGACTGGGTTTTCAATTAACTGTTTATCTAAGGGATCAACAATAAGTGATGCATTCGACATATCTAAAAGCTCATTAAGAATGGATTTCTTATTTTGTTTAGGAAAAACTAACGAATTATTTTTACTAAATGATTTTTGTTCTGTTAATGTTTTATTTTCGATATCATATTTTTCTTCCATATAGTTCTCTTTCACTGAACTAATATTTGATTTATTTAGACATTTAACCGATGTGTTATTTATTTTAGACGTATTCAAGCAAATTTGATTGTCTTCTATTTTGAAACTAACATCTGTTTTTATAATTGGTCGGGACATATTATGCTCTATACTTTGATATACAAGAATATCTTGCTGAACGGATACTTCTTTCAATTCAGCATCAAATAAGCTTTTACGAGGGTCAACTACGCCCTTTTCTGAAATCTCTTTTTGGATATCCATTATTTCAGATGGTATAGGCTTTGTTAATGATATATTGCTTATGCCACAGTTGGATTGTTCAAAAACCTTCGAGTTATTTATTAGATTGTTACGCAAAGAATTATTTTGATTTACATTCGTTAAATTCATGTCGTTATCATTTTTTTCATTAGTAAATATATTCGTAGGTAATGGACGAGTTATAGATATATCCATATCAATGTCATTTGTTGACATTTCGGTTTTAGTTATTTCTGCGTTTGTAAGAATTAAATTTGAAGGCATCGATTGAGTGATAGATACATCGCCTTCATCGTTGTCATATATAACTGATTTTCTTTGACCTGACGCTATATTAGGGTCATTTTCTATATCATCATTCGTTTCTAAATGTTCTTTGACAGGTTGCGTTAATATGATATTAGAAGGCATAACTTGTGTCATAGATACATCAGCATCTTGATCAACATAGATTATAGTTTTTCTTCTATTATTTTTGACATCTTCAATTTCATTTATTTCAGACTTTGGTTGGTTCATTATATTTGATGGTATAGCTTGAGTCATAGACACGTCGCCATCTTCATTATCATAAATAATAGTTTTTCTTCTTGTTGTATTTTTAAGAACATTAACTAAATCTGCATTTCCTGCTGTCACTACCTTGTTTTTCAAATAAAGTGCTTGTATAATATTGGCAGGAATGACTTGTGTCATAGATATGTTACCTTCTTCATTGTCATAAAGAATAGTGTTTCTTCTATTATCTTTATTTTCAGGGTTGCTATTTTTATAATCATTCAATTGTGTATTATTTGTTTTAGCTTCCACGTGGATAATGTTAGAAGGAATAGCTTGAGTCATAGATATTTCTCCTTGATCATTGTCATAAATTATTGTTTTCCTTTTGTTTGAAGGCTTCTCAAAATTTGTTATATTTAAACTTTCATTAGCAGTATTTGTATCAATTTTATCAATATTCATTTTGTTCTCAAGTAAAATATTAGTAGGAATAGCTTGTGTTAAGGAAATGTTGCCAGCTTCATTATCATACACAATTGTTTTTCTTTTTTCATTTTTGTTATTACTATTTTCTGTTTTTTCTTGTTTTCTATCTTCATCTTTAAAATCATCATAGTGATTATTATCACTATCATGTTTTGATCGATCTATTATTATATTAGATGAAATCGCTCGAGTCATAGAAATGTTACTTATATCATTTTCTTCCCTCTGTGGTTCCCTTTTTGATTTTATTATAATATCGGGTATAGCCTTAGTAACGGATATGTCGAAAGCGTCTTGGTAATAAATAGTTTTATCTTGAGATGTTTTATTCAAAACTAAATTTCCCGGCAAAACTTGTGTGAAAGAAAGATCATCTTCATAGACAACCGTTTTTTCTATTCCTTGTTTAATAATATTAGTCGATACTGCCTGAGTTATAGATATCTCTGCTGTATTATTTTCATATATAACAGTTTTACGTTTTTCTTCTTCATTGATTATAACTTTGGCTGGAATAGCTTGTGTAATGGAGATATTCCCCATATCATCTTCGAAAACAATGGTTTTCCTTTTAGGTTTCTCAACTTTGCTGCCGACAGCTTGAGTGATAGATAGGTCGCAGTCATTGTAGAGAACAGATTTTTTAAAATCTTCTCCTTTGTTAGTAATATGGTTAACTATTAGAGATGAATTGTCCGAAATGAAATTCGGTAAATCATCATTGACATTCAATACGATAGTTTTCCGTTTTGGCACTGCATCTGTGTTCATGGCAACTTTGGGTTGTACTGTTTCTTCATTATTTACCACTGGAATAGGCTGTCTTTCAGATTGAACACTTAACTTCTTTCCATCAAATACCAAAACTTTGTCAAATTGTTCATTTATTGCAAAATTCGCTGATTCTTTGGGTGTCACATATGGATTCATTACAATATTCTCTTTGTCTACGAGAGTTTCATTTGATATGGTGTCATGATGGGGCGTTTGTTTAACCGCTTGCACCTTAGGGCTCTGAATGGTATCAGTGATAGACATATCAAAATCATCATTCCTCATCAGTACATTGGTCATGTTCAAATCAACTTCTATATACTCTGAGACATCTTTCGAGCTAAACGGTCTACACATCACATGAGGGTGCGGCCTTTCCAAATCCCGGGCGATTTCTTCTAAATCATCACATTTACCTAGTGGTTGTATATTCGAAAAGTTCATACTAATAGGATTGGACATATCATTCATCACCGGCATACTGAGATCATCACCAAAAACCTTACTGTGATGATCTGTTAAATTACTTAATTCAAAATGTTGTACCGGAGCTGCAAGTTTTTTATCATCTCCCACACAATCCAATTCGAATGCCATAAGCTGTTGAGTTAAATTTACATTATTGAATGACGATTGAAATTCATGAATGGCTGTATTAGTTTGGAGAGTACCACCGATATCAACTACTTCCACTTCTTCGAATTGTTGGTCGAATATTCTCTTGCCGATGTGCCCTATGACTGGACAAGGTGCATTCGCTGCGGACTCGTTAGCAGAAGATTCTAAAGACTTATTGTGCTCTTCGTAAAAGTTTTTCCATGTGGTTGTAGCTTCATTTGTGACAAACTCTCTGTAAAACCAATGTAAAATCAAATATTATATATGTTGGGACAATTACACACAGCACTATCTAGTTCCATGGTAAGCTACGAGGCTTGTGTATGGATACCAGATAGTTGTTACACTACACATATAACTATGTATATATATATATACATATTATAAATTTGAACACCCATAACTGGAGTACAAAGTGCAAACATTCGTGCTCACCACTAATATGTTACTTAGTGTTTATTTGGTCCATCATATTTTCACTAAACAGAAATGGCAGGATAAATTTGAATTATATATATAGAAACTATGACCTAGAGTAACAACACACAGGCTACTATTTGTTATAAAATATGCCAAAAAAGTGTAAATGCTGTATACTGATATTATTAATACAAAAGAGAACTGTTGATGCACCAGAGTAAAGCTAGGGTGAGTCACTAGTATTGAATTAAGAATTTTCACCCCTGACCCAGAGAATAAGTTAGGCTTTGTGTTCAGAGAAATGAATAAAATCCAAAAGTTATCACCTTATTTCTGATACATTTTAATAAACGGTCTATTTGCGTAGCATGAGCAATTGTTCGATAGAAATTTAAGTTTCATAATATTTAGGATTCATCTTCCCCATTCAAGACAGGGCTACCTTGGTCAAAAAAATTACTTTTTATACCATACTAGAGGCTTATCCTCGCTTCGCACGGGTACATTTTAATATTTCTAATCGGGATCCTAATAATTTTTCTAAAATAAAAGTGGCCTAATATACTCCTTATAACAACAGCTATCTGGCAGTGAAAGCCTTGCCAAAATCAGTCCAGCCGTTTTGGAGATTAGCCGTTTTGGAGATTAGTGGCTTGATATCTATATATTAAATGGAGATCGTTTAAAATTTATTACTAACAGGTTGTTTTACTGAACTTGTTAAACATCATAAAATTTATTAATAACCAACTGATTTTCATAGAATTTATTATAAAAAATATGTAGAATTGATAGAAATGATCAAATCGTCCTACAAATAAAATGGTAGGATTTCTCAGTCCTACACTCAGATATTGTCTCCCCCACAATGATTCTTTATTCATTACTAACTGTAGGATAAAGGTATCATAATAAGAATGGTAAGTATTTTCATTTTCAACAGACAAACAGATTTATAAAAATTATCCAGGTGTAATATTAGTAGTAGTACTCACGCAACTCCAGTTTTTCGTGAGAAGCTGACGCGTCTACTCTTAGCTGGTGAGTTAGTGGGTGTAGCAACATTAAATTCTAGCTCAGTAAATGGTGTCCGTGGAGGCCTTTGGCTCTTCAAGATTGACGATCTTCGTTTTCTCCTAAAAAATATCATATGAAATAAGTATATAATATAAGGAAAAAATAGAAAAATATGATGATGATGTTCTCCTAGCCGATTCCGGCTACGGCGGCCAATCTCATTGAGACTAGCCAACTGCACAGGAGATATTATAGTGCACAAGTGTATGCACAGACACAAGTGCATTCCCTATTCCTGTCACTCTCATACTCCGGTGGGACGACTGCTCGACACGACCAGTGAGAGTTAAGGCGCAGGACTGACTTTAGGGCTTTACGTGCTCTCCGAGGCACGGGGGTGAAACACCGCCAACTTCTCAACTCCGGGCTGTTACTGAGACTTACTATACAGAAAGACTCAATAACTAAACTAGGCCCGACCCGGGACTCGAACCCAGGACCTCCGAGTGCGCAGCCGTAAATGCTAGCCACTACACCACCGAGGCAGTTAAAAAAAAGAAAAATATAAAAGACAAGTGGTACAACAGTTTACTTTTAAATTATTATTTACTTTAGATGGTACTTTAAAAAAGAAAAAAGAGAAAGAAGAAATTATGATATATTTTTTTTTAAATCTCTACTAATATTATAAAGAGGAAATATTTGTTGTTTGTACCAAATAAGCTCCGAAACTACTGGACCGGTTTAGATAAAATTTGGTAAAATAGATAGTGACCTTGGGAGGACATAGGATAATTTTAATCCCGAAAAGCATACCCTAAGGGGGTGAAAATGGGGATGATAGTTTGTATACGGAATCAACCTAGGGGTGAACCCGAGCGATGCGAAGGTGAGTTGCTAGTAATATATATAGATATTTGTTTCCATTTAGTACAAACCAGAGCATATTTACTAAGCATAATTTTTTCTAAGCTCAATAGAATATAATGTAACACTAAAATTGTATTGCAATATATTATATTTAATTAATGGAAATAAATTAAATGACATAATAAGATTTTTGCGTTTCATTAAAAGAAATACAATAAACAATAAGTTACTGTTTATTTACAATTAATATTTATCATATTCGAAATTTATTTTATTAAGCATTTATATATTTACTTATAAGTAAATTATTATTATTTTATTTTATTTCTATATCATTAGACCATAAACAAATACCTACCAATCGAATTGAGAACCTCCTTCCTTTTTGAAGTCGGTTAAAAACAATATATTAAGAAACTATGAAGTAGGTACTAAAAAACAATATAAAAAGAAAATATCAAGTTTTTCACGTTCTGAAAATCCAGATTACAAACTATAAGCATATTATAATGCACAAATTAAATGTGTAACGCGTGTTTCCATTCAACTTGATTAAAGTTATGAACTTACGTTGCTGCTGCTGCTTCAGCTGTTTTTATTGAAGCTTGTGTGTCATCCATATTAATTGATGAATTAACTTAACATTACAACACTAAGATTATATTTTTCAAGAAATACATAAATGATAAAACTAAAATGCTCTTCAATAAACATTCATTTGAAATCAAAACACAAACGGTTGGTTTTTAAAATTGACAGCATTGTGTATTTGACATTAGAAAGATAAAGATAGATAGACTGAATGTATGGAGGCAGGTGCTGCCAGCTGTAAAATTACTATCTTCCTCACTAAAACCTTTAATGTGAAATAAATAATAAATGCAAACATATATTACTGTGACTAAATATTACAATATTTTAAAATAAGTTATTAAAATAAGGTATTATTAATTGAGACCAATATAATAACAGTGACACTAGAAAAAGAAAAAAAAATCCTATAAGATTGCTTTTATGTATATTTAAAATGAATGTTGTATGATTATGAATGAAATATTAAGCCAAAAATAACTTACAAAACAAAAATGACTCCAAGTGTAGTGATAGTTAAAAGGGTTACATATGCGGAAAAAATCCCGATCCATGTAATAATAATTGCATCTCTTTCTTCATCGAGCGGTCCAGACATTAGATTCCAAAATATAACTACTACATTTCTTAATTTTTAATTTAATTGTAGATTTTTTTGTAATATTTATACTAAAATTTTGAGTCAACCAAATTATTCTGTCAATATAGACGTTACATAGCTTCTTTTTCTTCTGCTTTTTATTTTTCTACTAATGGCCAGCGTTTACTTAATTTCTACACGTTTGATGAAAACTCTTAAAAAAATATCAAATGCTGTGACAGATGTATGTTTAATTTTTCTTCAACTAATTGAGTTGGAGTCTTTTACATTATCAACCGACTTCAAAAAGGAGGAGGTTCTCAATTCACTGTATTTTTTTTTGTTTTTTTTTTTTTTATGTTTGTTACCTCAGAACTCCGTCATTTATTAATCGATTTGGACAATTTTTGTGTTGTTTGAAAGGGTATACTTCCAGATTGGTCCCATTTAAATTTCAAAAAAAAATACCACCCCTAAGGGTGGAAAAATAGCTAATGATGAATTTAACCTACTTCTAATTGTCATATTGACTTGAAACTTTGCAAGTATTTCTATTTCCGTTGATAGTACAGTGGTTCGGTGTTGTTGACCTGATCTGATGGTAAGGCCAGAAGGTGGATAGGTGGAACTGTTCAACGGCTAATAGTAGATACTTTGAGTTTGGGCTTATTTTGTTTGATTTGACAAGCCTAACACGTTAGAATCCTTACTTTGCTACTACTGTCTACACTAAAAAGGGAAAAATAAAAACTTTTTAACAAAAAAATAAAAACCGACTTCAAACAAAAGCACTAAAAAGTAAAAAATAACTGATTGGTAGTTTTCATTTACTATACATACCTAATGAAATATTTTCGAAGTCGGTGTGCTTTGGCTAAGTAATTAAAGCCTACCTATTAAATACATACCTAATCAAATATTTTCGAAATCGGTGCCAGCCCATACAAAGCACACCGACTTCGAAAATATTTGATTAGGTATGTATAGTAAATGAAAACTACCAATCAGTTATTTTTTACTTTTTAGTGCTTTTGTTTGAAGTCGGTTTTTATTTTTTTGTTAAAAAGTTTTTTTTATTACCTGTGCATACAGTAATATGAATATAACTGTGATGTGGTAACAGACAGACAGACAGACAAAAATTCTAAAAACTATAGATTCGACTTTTGTATCGATAATAATGTTTATTTGAATAAGATTTTCCAAAAAATATTTATTGTACACATTCGGCTTAGTTACAATTTGTTAGAAGTTAGTAAAACTCACTGACAAGAAAAAACCTGTTCCGTGATAGAACTATAATTGTAACCGGCTTACTGTCACATCCTATCGAAAAATGTTCTTTACGAAAGTTGTAGGTCTAGTAAAAATTTACGACTTTTATAGATGAAACGTTTACAATAACCTCAAAGTTTTGGAGATTTGAAAAAAAAACCGTTTTTTAATATATATTTTTTTGATTTTTTATTTTTAATTTCTGCAATATTTTTTTTTATTTTCATGAAACTAAGGGAATATAATCTTCGAAATACATATAATAACCAATTTTTTTTAAATTGAAATGTTTAGCCGTTTCCGAGAAATTTAATATGGTCTCGGGAGACTTAAAATCACCCCCAACTTCAAATGGACGTTTAAATAAAAAAAAGAACGTTCAATTTTCAGATAAGGCTTACTTTTTTGTCTTGCCGTCTACTTTCTGAAGAAACAAAAACATTGTACGGTCGTCCTGTAAATCACTCTTAAAAATTGAAAAAACTGCAGATTTCCATAATTTTAACACATACATTACACGGTTACAGTCATTGTTTTTGAAAAATATTTTACGTACAGATTTTGCTAAATAACTGTTTTATTATATGCATATTTCAGCCTCTGACTCCCGCCCCAAAATTTAACTCTGGGTCCATGCCTGTTCTGCGTGCGCTCATCATCATTATTTAAAAATAATGCTTTTGAACTTGGTACCATAAATAGATAGACTAATAAAAAAATAAGTATAAGCAACATATTAATTTAATCTCAGCTGTAAATTAATGTTATTTTATATCTAACATAACAAATACATTTATGTTTTTATTAATACACGACAAATTCCGTTAATTTGAGGTTTCTGTTTCTGATGAATATATAGAAGAAGTTTCTGAGGTAGTATATTGAGATTGTGTGCTTCTGCGACGGTGGCTGTAAAAATCAAATACCTTTTATCTATAATGATGATTAAATATAATTTTTATCGTGCCATTTTTCTAATAAAAAGCAAATGATATAGTAGCATCGGTAACTAGCCGATCCCCACTTAAATTTATCTATACTACTTACAATAAATCTGTAGAGAGGTCAATTCTGTACATGAAATATATTTCCAAAATAACTATCAGGGGGTGATTAGGGATCGATACTGATGCCAAAAATGCAATCAGTAAAATTTTTGTGTCTGTCTGTCTGTCTGTCTGTCTGTCTGCCTGTATAACCGTTATAGAAACAAAAACTACTCAACGGATTTTAACGAAACTTGGTACAATTATTTTTCATACTCCTGAGCTGGTTATAGTATACTTTTCATCACGCTACAATCAATAGGAGCAGAGCAGTGAAGGGAAATGTTGGGAAAACGGGAGAAGTTACTCCATTTTTTAAGCTTCCGTCGCGTGTGCAACCTTAATGGTTAAAGCTACACAAAAATCATGTATGACGGAAATGTTCTCCTTAAAATTATATAAAAAATATCCCACGACAGCATATGTCTATCTTTTATGGTTGACTCACAATAACACGTGTAACTCCCGATAGCTTAGCAGTTCGAAGCTTTCTGATTTATATTTGTCTACTCTTACGTTTGAAAACTATAATAACTTATCAACTTATGCACCTAATTTAGTAAAATTTAACATTCTGATACCTTATATTGCCGGTCAAACAACAGGTTACTTTACAACCATTACATGGAAAAATGAACGGTTCCCGTAAGAACTAATAGATCTCTATTAATGTTTTCCTAGAGGCAAACCCGAGCGAAGCGAGGGTGAGCCGCTAGTATAACCAATAAATTTATATTTTGAAGAAGAATGTAAAAGTGAACAGGAAAATCAGAGCAGCATTGAAATCCTAATAATAACACATTGGAATGTTTTAAAATCAAGTTTCATCAAAGGTTCTATCAAGAAATCTATCCATTACGACTAAAACCTTTAAAAAAAAAAGTATTAAAAAATATTATACCGTCGTTGTCTGCACCTGCATCTTTGCGTGATCTTTCTTTTAACGTTCTCTTTATTTTCACTACTATCCGATTTCTCTGTATTATCAATTCTTTCTTTTGTCTTACGCCTACTTTCCACCTTGCGTTGGTATCTTTTTTTATAAATTTCACAAGAATCTTTAGGCATAACTTTCCATGAGAAATAATTACCTTTTGCCAACTGTGTTTTCTGCAAAATCAAAATGAAATAGAAATATTTAAGAAGTCCTGTTTTAATGATTATAAGTTATAATAATGTTATAATAAACAAACTCGTTTATGAAGGACTTGATTAATGTTTTCCAAATCAGCATTAGGAATATTAGAAGAACCCCAAAATCGCTTTTTCTTACATAAATATTTCTTTTTTGGAATTTTCCTGTTTATATTTTTAATTGATTTTATTCGTAATGGCGTCATTATCTTATTCTAAATAGCATTAATATTGAAATATAAATAATAATTTACGCGAAAACCATTGTGTCATTATTTGAAGTAAATTTTTCGTCTGTGTCGATGAAAAAATAATAACATTGCAAAGGTGCAAATACCAACCACCCACATAGTAATATGTACTTATGTATGTGCGAACATTCTCATATTAAAGTATTTATAATTATGTATTTTATTAGTTGTTTTTATAGTTCTTGATTTTATATGATTGAAAAATTAGGTTAGTCCTAAATATTAATTAAGTATAATGATATAATTTGTTTATTTTTTTATATAATCATTTTAAATAGTATTCGAAAGCGTTTTTTTTCATTTTAATGCAAAAATATGCTGATGTAATGGCGTTATTTAAATAAATGGAGCACACGGGGACTCTTTACTGTTTTTAATTGCTTATGAAATTCGATACATTGGAGCATCCACATGTATGTATATATATATATATATATATATATATATATATATATATATAAAATATATAATTGTTCTCTATTTGTATTTCTGTAAATAAAAGTAAATGTAAATAGTATTCGAAAGCGTTTTTTTTTCATTTTAATGCAAAAATATGCTGATGTAATGGCGTTATTTAAATAAATGGAGCACACGGGGACTCTTTACTGTTTTTAATTGCTTATGAAATTCGATACATTGGAGCATCCACATGTATATATATATATATATATATATATATATATATATATATATATATATATATATATATATATATATATAATATATAATTGTTCTCTATTTGTATTTCTGTAAATAAAAGTAAATGCCAGTCCACACCATTCTAACCGTCCACAGATATTCGTCCGTGTTCAGATTATGTGAAATCTGATGCACTACAATTATTTTGCCATGTGGATGCTCCAATGTATCGAATTTCATAAGCAATTAAAAACAGTAAAGAGTCCCCGTGTGCTCCATTTATTTAAATAACGCCATTACATCAGCATATTTTTGCATTAAAATGAAAAAAAAACGCTTTCGAATACTATTTAAAATGATTATATAAAAAAATAAACAAATTATATCATTATACTTAATTAATATTTAGGACTAACCTAATTTTTCAATCATATAAAATCAAGAACTATAAAAACAACAAAAAAGAACTATAAATTTGAAATTAATATTCATATATTACATCTAACAATTTTTATTATATATTTAATATATAATGAAATGTTTATATTCATAACTAAATATATCAAATATTTAAAAGTGTGTCTCCAACTATCCGAGCGTTGTCATATGACTACGACGTTCAATGCTACCAACCTAACTATTTAGTCACCATTTTGGGGCAGCTGATATTTGTTTGAAGAAAACTTTTTGCCTAAAAGCAGCTTTTATAGTCCTAAAATGGGTGCCTCATTCGTTCCCATCACAATTTTCACCGTTTTCTGGGGTGTCATTGGTATAGTATGCCCCTTCTTCGCACCTAAAGGACCAAACAGAGGGTAAGTTTTTAGTGCACTTGAAACCCCTATTTATGAAAAATTGCAAAAATATATTCGTGAATATTTATAATTTCAGGATTATCCAAGTTGTTTTGATGCTAACTGCTGCGACATGTTGGTTATTGTAAGTATTTTTAATTATTTATATGTAGTAAACTTATTTGGCTATTTCAATCAATACCACCCTTTTTAAACTATTTATTTACATATAATATTGTATGTTAAATAGTTAACTAATAGATTTACTTAATACATAAAATACCCTATCCTAAAATGACAGAACATTAGGATTCTACAATTTAGTATTTCCCCGGGATCGCACTTTCCTTATTGCTTTTGTTACAATTTCCTTATTTTATTATATATACAATACAATTTAATTATCTATATATATGTGGCCAAGTATTTTGCGAAATATGATAATGTTGAAAATAACAAAACACAATCATTAATATCATTAATGTATGAGCATATTGGTGACAAAGTTTTACGTGGTCATCTTAAATATTACAAGACTCATGTTCTTTTGTTTTGTATTTAATTTATTGATATATAACACAATTTATCATATTTTAAGCCATTTTTTATATTCTTTGAATAACATTATTAACTTTAGTATTTGTAAAGCAAGCAAAAAGTCTATTAAGAAAAAAATGTATGTCAAGATAATAAAAAGTATTAACATTATTACTTTATCTGTAATTTCAGCTGGCTGTGTGCGTACATGGCACAGATGAACCCCCTCATTGGCCCCAGACTTGACAACGAGACTCTCATCTGGATTTCTGTTGCTTGGGTAAGATAAATTAAAGATTTTATAAAATATAATACTTTTTGAATGATAATAACAGAATAGAAAATACTGCAATATATTAAAAAAAATCTATGTGAATACAGTCTTTGAAACATCAATTTAAAAAAAAGATATGATAATGTAAACATAAAACTTTTTATTTTAACAAAAAAGCAACTACTATTTTATAAAGAGAAACTAATTTTCAGACCACTAAATTATATAAATATATTTTTCTATTTTATTTAATTATTAGCTTTACAAACCAATATAATTTTTTTTATCACAAGTAACTAGTCAAATATGAATCAAATATTGTTGAAACATAAATCCAAATGGTTGGTATAACAATGGCATAACTTTAAAAAATGAGCAAGTTTACTAAATGCTATCTGCAAGTTAGAAAGTAGAATGTGTTCTTGATGAACATGTTGTTTATATAAAAAATTGAGTTTTGAGTTGTGCCCATTTTGCACTAATATGACATATTTAAGTCAATAGAAGGCGTTATATATGTATATGGATTTTTTTATTGATGTTGGGTAAAATACTATTTTTTTAAAATGAACCACTTTAATTATTTAAAATGACTACTAGTTCTATTAATTGCAGTTTATTAATTATTAAAGAAAATTTGGTGAAATATAAATTGCATATTAAAAATCAAAGTCTAAAATGAAAATAATTATTTTTCTTGCACATCTTTCTCCACACTTAGGTAATTAATAGTTATTGGTAATTGTGAGTACATGGGTTATTTTTTTCAACGACAACGAAAAGTCTTAACAGACTGCCAGTGTCCTGGAGGATTTCTGGGAGTGAACTCCTCAGGTCTAGTTTTTCTGTGTTGGTATATAGTAGGGCTGACACACAGGGTTTTTCGAAACCGAACTCGGAGTTGGTGATTGTGAATTCGATATATCGGGTACGAAATCGAAAGGCGCAAGATTGACAATCACAGGTGTCCTCATGGACACAAAGTTTTTACATTTGTTTTTAGTTTTTTTTTTTGTTTTTAAATCAAATTAAAAAGAAAACTGTAGTTTTGGCCAAAAACTAGATTATCCTCTAAAAAATACGATATAACGAAAAAGAACTCCGAGCGAAGCTTGGTCGCCCAGCTACTATAAAATATAAAGCATTTATTTATTATTTTTAATGAGATCAAACTTCTTCTTGTCTTGGCTGATACTGCTTGAAATAATTGTGTACCGCTAAAGCTGTTATCAACTAAAATAGTAAATTTAAAAACTTAAATTTCAATACAAATATTATTACCTTTTAATTAATATATGAATTGTATTTTAAGAATTATCTTAAAATTACATTTTCAAGCCGCAAATAAAAACGCCGTCCAAGTCAATACACGTGTAAGCAATGCTCACGTGCCCAGTACGAAAGTTGAGATCCATATCTGTGTTCGCGGATTTTGACCCTAATAATCCTAATCTGTATCCGATCGATCCGGTACATCTCTACCTATATATAGGGTTGCAACTATTTGAGAAGAATTAAACCATATTAGTGTTTGAGAGGCATCGATCAAAAAAGTACTAGATACAACACAATCGGCGACAAAAGATGTCCACACCAAATGAGCGCTCATTTGAATATTTGAGCGCGCTTCTAATTTAGTAGCATTCAAACGCTATGACGATAAACATGCCTCTGTTCTCGATTAAAAATTGCAATAACCATACATCTAGGACGCTAAAAAAGAATGGAGTTTCATATTTTCTGTTAGTATCAATATTATCATTATACAATTGTTATTACTATATTGTAAATACTGATATTTTGTCAAGAAATCATCGTAAAAACAGTTTTTAAATATTTTTTAAATTAAGTCGTATTAAAAACTCATTTCTTGTCACGGCGTAGCGCCGTGGCGGCGACAAATTATAAATATTATTGGGTACTTGTGAAGATTATTAAGAGGAAGCCAAAGTTAAAAGGAGATAATTAGTTTAAAATTGTATGACATTTCACTTAAAAATATCCACTCCTACTACACTAAATATGCCTCCAAATCAGACCTACTAACTTATGTATGTATATGTGCTATAATTTGCAAATTGGTAAGATTTTTTGGAACAAAATGCTAGATTTGTAAAATTTTACATTGTTGCAAATTAGATCTTTTAGGGGAGTGGCAATCATTGAAAAATTTCCATTTATAATATCTGGTCCCATCATCAGAAAAGCTCGATGGTACCAGATTTTCATCATGCTACCACCACAAGGGAGCAGAACAGTACTCATAAATGTTAACAAAACGGTCAGACTTCTATATATTATTGTAAAACTGATGTTTATAACGCGGGTGAAATTGCGGGGTACAGCTAGTTTATATACCTCTAGATAAATTTCTAAGAAATTAATTAAATTTCTAAGAAATATATTGTTAACTGTAACGCCGGCGTGTCCGCTGTCGTTGAGGGATTAAAAATTGTAGACAATACACGTCCAACCAAACCCGAGTACACTCTCTAGCGACACGGTATGTTATGTGCGTTCGTAACACTCATGTGCCTAGCTTCATTCAAATGTACCTATATTTAGTGCGCGGCGGCCACTGCCAGCGTCGCCGTCTCTGCCAGACTATTTAGTGAAGGACGCTCACTGAACTACATTCGATGCTTTTATTTTGCCATTGTTTCGTACTTGTTTTTATTACTTATTGTGTTGGAAGTCGCGTACGATATTTATATATAACTGTTTCAGGGTAAATATAGTGAATCTTAATTCAATTAGCCTGGAACTGCTGAGTTTTAGCCTAGTCTAGACTCAACTATAGCCGTGTCTTGTTGGATTTGTATCATTTTGTTGAGATTACAAACTTTCATCCCCTATTTCATCCCTTTAGGACATAACTTTTCAAGTATCATTCCTTAGTGTTCCCCTTCCTTATATAAGGATTTTTTGTGCAACATTTTATGTTTCTACGCCAAGCGCCTTAAGTTTTAGGCTGTGAGTTTTTTTTTATGAATTTAAGATTTTTTGAAGTAAATACTTATTAGATTACTTTTTTATTGTTATGCTTTCTGCATACGAAAATTGGTTTGGTATGTTTGTCACACGTGTGTGTGACTTTTTCTACTGTCAATAAGAGAGGATCGCTAATTACAGTTCGTGCATATTTTTTATGAAAATTTTAGTGCGTTCTACCTACCTACCATTAAGGTCACTTTTGAGATATTAATAGATCGCTCAACACAAAGCCAAATTAATTGTTAGTGTTTCTAAATATAACATATACGAGTAGTGGGTCATTAAGACAATCATTTGTTTTGCCAGACTATATAATGTATATTTAATTGTTTTCAACGTCTTCGTTGGTTTCTGAATAATACTAAATAATAAAATTGAAGTCTTGGCAAGATTATACTATATGCAAAACAAACGACCCAAAACAAAAATTAATATACATTTGGATAGTTATTTATAGGAGCCTTATGGTTTTTTTGTTATCTCTATACCATTTATTTAACCAACTGTGAAGTGTGAATAGTGTTATACGTGTCAAATATATTACAATATTTTCTTTATTGCACTAAACAAGTAATAAAAAAATATATACATGAAAGTGATGTGGACAAAGGTGGACACAATATTTAAATAATATTATAAAATAATAATATTAGCAATTATATTGTATCTCTGATGGAAGCTATGGTTTCATAGCAGCGCATTTAGTTTGTTTTATAAAAAAAAACTTAATTTTCCAACAAAAAAAAGAAATACGTAACAAAACCTTGTCATTGAAATGCCACCAAAAATAATATACGTCGAGGCGCCGCGCTTGTTATGTAAAATATATTATTTTTACTACTTTTGAATAATAGTAATGTTGCTTAGCTAGTTATTATCTCCAAGGGAAATCGTAAAAAAAAATTGTGTAGGTACAGTCATTCCAGGTATTATTTAATTTATTTACCTTTAGTATTAGTATGTAGGGTATACTTTAATATGTATAAAAACTGTAAACATTTGATGTGCAAAAGCCTATGTCGTCTTCCATTTCGTATGCTTCATAGCTTCATCATTCATTTTTAACAACTTTTTTGAGGTTGAGGCGTTTTAGTATAAAAAATCAGTAAACAAATAAAAGTAGATACATTACGCTAAATTATCCTTTTTAAAAACCTTTTTAATTAGGATGGCTAAACATCCTTTTATAAAAAAATACTTTTGAAATCAGACATATAAAATTCTTTAAAATTATATTTGGTTTTTATCACGTCCCGTTTTTTTTTAAATTACAATTTCCAAAAAAAAAAATTACTGACAAAATATAATACACTTTTTTTTTTGCTAACTCCATTTCTTTACGCCATTCCGTCCCTCCTTTTACCACTGTGTATATCAAGCAGTTCTTCTAACATACTAATATTGCACACCAATAATAAACTGTGAATGCAGCTACGGCCTGAGCGAAGGACATAATGACGTCAAATAAGTCAGGATTAAAAATATTAAAAAAAATTCAAAATCAAAATATACTTTATTCAAATAGACTTTTACAAGCTCTTTTGAATCGTCAATTTTCCATTTTAAATTAAAATCAAATGTCAGTCCGTGTTCTGCTGAGAAGAACCGGCGAGAAACTCAACAGGGTTGAGTTTGGTATAGGTTATTATATAAAACATTGAAATGAAATAAACTTTATTCAATTAGACTTATTACAAGTACTTTTGAAATTACATTACAGTTAAATTACATTAAATTATATAATAACCCAATATTTACTACTAATGCGTTATTCGCACCGTAGAAAGCTCAGTGAATACTGTTACATATATAAATAGCTTTCCAAAGCGAAGGATGCTGCACTATTCATAGATGCGTATAATCTAAATATACACGGCCAGGGATATACAGGCACTGTCAAGGACACGTTATTTAGGTCAAGAATGTCACAATTCAAAAAAAAACCTGTATATGTTTTACAAAGAACTTAAAAAGAGTAGATTTTTGTAATTTTTGTACGAGTATAAATGTTACGCGATATGTTCGCCGATTGTTTTTCTTTTAAAACAGGTTTTACTTCGAGGATGGTTCTATTTAAATTTTAAATGCCGAGACAACTATTTTGTAGGCTATTGTTTTTTGATCTGTGATATGTTATTTTGTAGGCTAGTAAATGATGCATTGGACTACTTAGTTATATATATTTTTTAATTTAAATCAATTGCAAAGAAGCAGGTAAAATGATGACTACAAGAAATAAAGAATAGAAATTGAAAAGAAATAAGTTAACCCACATTAACACTAAAGGCAATTATAATACGTAATCCATATTCTCCATTCCAGTATGTGTACACTAAGTATATACTGTTTTAAAAATAGTTACAATGCACGCATTTTTGCACTTTTTCTTTATAAATTTTGTAAAATACGCGTTGTGAGCTGTCACTTTACTCAATCGATTGAAAATACCTTAAAGTAGTCAATTTGAGTAATTCACGCATAAATAAAGTTTATAAAAATGTATATTATTGACACCAATACCGTGGTACGTTAATGTGAAATAAAATGATTATTTATTTAGGGATTTCCTTAAGGATATATTCCTGACAAGCGACTAGCTCGAGTTCGCTTAGAAAACAACTCAACAACAAAAACAAATCTATCCCACGGTACCCGCACATTCTTCCGGGATTAAAAGTAGCCAATGTGTTATTCTGATATTTGAGCTATATTATTGTACAGTTTCATTAAAATCGATTCAGTAGTTTTTGCGTGAAAGAATAACAAACATCTATACATTCAGATATACATACATCCACACAAACTTTCGCATTTATAATATTAGTAGGATCTTCATAAATATATAACAAACTAATTGACTTCTAATGTCCGCCAACCCGCACTTGGCCAGCGTGGTGGACTATGGCCTGATCCCCCTCGTATTGAAGGGAGGCCCACCCCCAGCAGTGGGACGTTAAAAAGGGCTCAATATAATAATTTACTTATAATCTTGTATGTATGTATGTAAAATGTAATTTTACATAATATTTTTTTCTTTGTTTCAGGGAAACCACACTAAGTAAATGTATCACTGTGCAAGTACCATTGTATAAACTTTGTGTGTAAAATAATTGAATGTTAATAAAATAAGCGTACTCCAACTTCTATTAAATATATAAAATCTATTTTTTGCTTTAAATTATTAACGAATCAATTTTTAAAAATGTATAAAAGTATATTTAATTTATCCATTCCACATGCGATGATATCAAAGTGTTAGTATTATATGTGTAATTGTAAAATAACATAGTGACATAACACAAAATTTGAGTTAGGTCAGTATATTATTGAAGCGATTTATATTATACGTTATGTTCAATAAATCTAGTTGACTAAATTTAGTGTTGTTTTATTTTAGTATAAAATAGTCTATAATTATATTTGTATATACATAGTTATTAAGTATAGAAAAGTAGGTAAGTACTTTAAAAAATCATTTTTTTTATATCCCACACTTGGTAAATGATTGATGCCCCATGCACACTTCTAACTCCCTTTTCACATTCTTAAGGGATGATTTCCGGGATAAAACTACACCATGTTCTTCCCACAATCTCAAACTACCTCTATGCCAAATTTCATCAAAATTGGTTCAGCAGATTAAGCGTGAAAAGGTAACGGACAGAGTACTTTCGCATTTATAATATTAGTATAGATTCCTTTAAAAACAGTTATTAAGCCAACTCGATACATAATTTCTATGAATTTTATATTATGGCTGTTATAATAAAGAAATTATACTTTGTATTACAATTTTAAAATAAAATAATAACTATATAATAGAATTTAATACTATTATAATATATTTTATTCAATACTAAAAATCTTTGAGTTAAGTCTCCTGAAACTGGAGTTTACATCTTTACATATTATATATCTATACTAATATTATAAAGAGGTAAAGTTTGTGATTTTGTGAGTTTGTGACGTTGTAGGGGGTAATCTCTGGATCTACTGAACCGATTTTCAAAATTCTTTTACCAATAGAAAGCCACGTTCTTTCTGAGTGTCATAGGCTATATATTAACCCGAAAAATAAAAAAGGCTTTTTCGTAGTAGTCGGATTTGCAAACTAAGTCGGAGAAAAAACGGTCGCACGAACAAACATTACATTAAATATTTTTTGAAAAATCTTATTGAAATAGACATTATTATCGATACGGAGGCCGATTCTATAGCTTTTACAATTATTGTCTGTCTGTCTGTTACCGCATCACAGAAAAACCACTGGAGGGATTTTGTTGAAATTTGGTATAGTGATAGCTGGTTATCCGGGTCAACATATACGATACTTTTTACCGCGGGAAAATGTCTTATCTCTGTGAAATCTACACTAAACGTACTAAGTACTTATAAACATATTACAAGTGGTACAAAAATAGCTTAATAGCAGCTAATACCGTAGTAAGTGTGACAGTGTGTGATTGAGTCCGCGCGGAGATGTCAAGTACACGCCACACTAAAGAGTCACGTGCTTTTTTACATAAGAACATTAAGCCGGCTACACACTTGATGGCCTTAAAGCCTAGTTCGCATTAAGCTAGTATTTTAGTCTAGTAGCGAGTAATTTAGTAACTAAACGTGTCTGAACACTAAAAATTTAGTCGATTAGTTTAGTAAGTAATTTAGTCGAGTCAATCCATTTTATTCTATTTTTTTGGGCGAGTAGCAGCCCCCACCACGCGTCCGAGCTCACTGGTTCACCGGCTAAACAAGTACGAACCTGTCGAATTAGTCGAGTTCATTAGTTGCCGCCATAATGTCGTTTCGCTGGAGCGAAGAAATGACTTTTAAATTTGTTTCGAAATATGTTGAACACGAATGCTTGTTCCTTCAGAAGACAATTAGTAGCTCCTAGTTTATCTCGTCTTTCGATCCATTTTCGTACCCATAGCTTCTTTTTATTAATCACACAAATTTCCTCATCCACCTTTTTTTAAAATAGCCGTTACGATCAGCTTAATCAGTTTATTTACTTTATTGCGTTGTAGGCTGTTCATCTTGCAAAACACCACTCACTTGTAAACTGTACTCGACCAAAGTGCGAACGATTTTTGGTGAGTAGCGAGTAATTTAGCTACTAAATTACTCGCTACTAGACTAAAATACTAGCTTAATGCGAACTAGGCTTAACGGTTGGAAAATAGAGATATTGTTAGTTATTTTTTAGGACACTAGGTGTTTAGGGCTTTAAAGTATTTTATTATTTATTTAGACTGTGAAGGTTATTTAAACTTATCATTTTGTTTTACTTTAAAGTATTGTATATATAGTATATTTTTCGACACGTTTGGCTCAGTTTGTTATGACCATACTTGCTGTGCCAGTGGTCGCGGGTTCGAGTCCCGCTGAGGGCATTCATTTGTGTGATGAGCACGAATGTTTGTACTTTAGTCATGGACTCCTGAGTAAAACTGTTCTGTGATCATGGGTGCTTATATTTATAATTTGTATATATTTAAAGTTATGTATGTGTAGTGTATCAACTATCTGGTATCCTTAACACAAGCTTTGTAGCTTACCGTGGAACTAGATTGTGCTGTGTGTTAATATCCCAAAATTATTTATTATTATTATTGTTCTATTTTGTGAAGCATTGAGTGATAACTTTTTAGGATTCCGAACCTCAAAAGGTAAAAAAGGATCACTCTCTTGTTTGTCTGTCTGTCCGTGTGTCACCACCGATTTTCTCAGGAACGGGTGGCGGGTGATGGGTGAGTCTAGAAAGTTGAAATTTATACCAAATACTGACGTCTATAGTCTCTATTACGTGTATAAAAATCAAGTTCCTGAGTCAACACGATAAAAAGATAAGGGCAAATTTAGATTTTCGCGAAAACTTGTCAAACCAATCACCTTAATTTTCAACTTTTTTTATTTTTCGGAAATTTCCCTTTACTTGTGCTGTAAGACCTTGCTTATAACCAAAATTGATAATTCTAGGTCAACCGAAAGTACCTTATAGGTTATAGGTCGAAAACCTGTTGGGTAGTTCCCGTTGACCTAGAATCACGAAATTTGCCAAAAAGCAGCACAAATAAAAATAAATAAAAAGTTGGAAATTAAAGTTAAACAGATTTCCTACAAAGTACGGAACCCTCGGTATATGTAAGTATGTATATGTAACATTGCCTTCAATAATAATTACCAGAAAATTTCGATACATTCATACAATTTAAATCTGTGTTTATTCCTCTTCTCTTCTAAATAAACACAGCTTTATTGTCATGCATTTAAAGTAATACATGGATATATTTAATTTATCTAAATGTAACTTGCCGCTTGGTCCAACTGTGTGGGGCCGGCAGAGGCACGAGTGCTCGCGCTGGCGTCCCGCCAACAGTGCCGAGCCCGAGCATGCTATAGGCGCAAGGTCGCTCAACTGTTACAGGTCAAATTGTTTTAAATATATCTTATATAATGAACTATGGATTTTTAACCATTTTCTATGTTTATATAATAGTGTTTGTGACTCGTTTACACAGAGTCAATAATTCTATTATGGACAATGAATAGTGTAGGTATACGCTTTTACAACAGGATCCCAGAAAACATCCAAAAGCTTCTATCGCCAAATTCAAATAATATAATACGATTAATTTTATACAATTAAAATTTTTATAGAAGATGGCACGCCTTGGGAATGAAGTGATCGCCTCCAGGCTACTTCAACTTTATAGAATTACTAGCATTGCCCGCGGCTCCGCCCGCGTTTATATGACCAAAAACAAAATTCTTAGGTTTTACATATTAGTATACTCTCACAATGCAGTTTATGTATTGTTTCTCAGAAATAAGATATTTTTCAGCGGCAAAGAGTATCCTATATGTTGACCCGGATAACCAGTTATCAACATACCAAGTTTCATCAAAATCCCTCCAGTGGCTTTACTATGATGCGGTAACAGACAGACAGACAAAAATTCTAAAAACTATAGATTCGCCCTCTGTATTGATAATAATGTTTATTTCAATAAGATTTTCCAAAAAATATCTAATGTACAGATTCGGCCTAGTTACAATTTTATTGTATGTATAGATGAGAAAACTGTTCAGCAATGTCATGGTAACGGAGTAATTAATAAACATATATAACTTATGCATTTATTTATGTACGGCGATTATTTTACCATAATGCTTTCTATTATATGAATGAGAGTATGTAAGTTTGTTACGTTTTTTAGCCAAATTATTGAATAGCCAAAGAAATTTGGCAGAATTTTGAAATTTTATCTTGAGTAAAAATAATATCTAGGCTAAATATAATCTAAATTTAACTGAACAGAATACGCAAGCTACTCAATAATTTAGATAATAATTAATATTATGTATGATAATTTAGAATCTGTTTTGTTAATTTACATTTTTGAGGATGCATCGCTAATCTATACTAATATTATAATATTAGTAAAGTTTGTGTTTGTGACGTTGTAGGGGGTAATCTCTGGATCTACTGTACCGATTTAGATGAAATTTAGTAAGAAAATAGTTTGTGTCCCGGGGAAGGACATAGGATACTTTTTATCCCGGAAATCATCCTTTAAGGGGGTGAAAAGGTGATGAAAGTTTGTATGGGGAATCATCTTTATATACGAGTAATTCGTTTCTTCGGAATAGGCCTTAAGGGCAATAGAAATTAGCTTAATTTTTTTCATATGTAGCAATAACTTTACATAACAATATGTATATGTAATTTATTTTAAGTATTAAAAGTAATGGATACCTACCTAATTCGAATTAAATCAACGTACCTATAAGTATTAATTCTTAATTTTTGCTCGAAATTCGACATTCGTAAAAACAATTCAATATTCACGATGAATAATAAAAGTAGAAAAAATATTTTTTTTACATATATAATAACGACTAACTTCATACTTTAGTCTAAATCCGTCGCATCGTAAAATAGAAAAATCACTTTCGGTCTCAGCATTCATTTTTCTTAACGCACCAAAAAAATATAACTTCAATAAAAGAACAATTGAATGAAGCATTACATAATTGGTGCCTACTCGATAGC